TCTATGTTAAATAAAAATGAGAACTTGGTAATGCAGCGAATATGTGGAAAAATGCCTTTATTTTTACTTGCCTTACAGTGACCTCACCCTATGCAGTAAAAGACATTGAAAAATGCTGTGTTAAATTCTGGAAAAAATTTTAATGGCCTTTTTCTCCTTAGCTTATTCTCTTCTGGTGAGTCTGCCATGGAGTCAAGCATGTTTTCTGTGTTTCTGTGCTATGGTGTGAAATCCTGGATTATCTCAAAGGTCTTACCAGCTGCAGCTGGCTGTTGAGCGTGTGTGTATTTATTGGACTTTTCAGGATCATCATCAGAAGCTTCCTTTACTTCCGTTGTTATATTTTGCCCAATTTTCTGACCACATTTCCAAAATGCTGGAGGTTATCCAAATGGTTTTGTCAGTCTTATACTATGTTGGTTGTTTCTTAACATTCACAAAGCAATGTAACCTTTTGGACTTGCCTAACACTGGATGTGGTAGCTTTTTGGTGCCATTAATGTTGGTGTAGGCCATAACAGTGTGACATTCCTTGCTTCGCTTTCCACCATTACATATTTGTGCATTAAACAATAAAAAGCAATTTGCAAAATCACACTAAAACAGCCCGGTTTCATCAACGTTAAAAATGCATTTTGGAGAATATGCATTGAGGATGTGCATGGGATCCTTTCACAGCAATTATTGCATCCCTGTCCATGATTTTGCACTCTGATATGATGTAACTCTTCGCAGATTGGTTAGTGAGATCATATGACAAATATGCACGAGTTTAGCGAATCCACAGTTACCAGTCTGAAACTTTAGCTTGTCACAGACATCCTCCTGTATTTCCTATTCTGCCAGTGGGATTAGCTGGCAACTTTGCTACACCTGGAGCTTCAGGTTATCCAAATTTGACTGATTATGATTTATCTGTCGTGACCCTAAACTGCCTCTCATGCTTATCAGCCTCCTTCTCCTGTCATTTCTCTATCAGACATCTGTCTCCTTGAACTCCGGATCAGGAACCAGTATAGCATTCTATATTTAACTTGAGAATGTGCTTTGATATCTAATGCCATGTCGTAGTTGATTTCACATATGTCTGGCTTTGAAAGAAGTACAGTTTAACTTGGGGTGGATTTTTAACTTTTGCATTGGATGTAAAACAGACAGTGGTGACTTTGCCGTCTGTAATACCCCACTGTCTTTTTATAATGGATGTGCACCAAAACAGTGAGTCTTCTTGAGTTCTCTGACTGAAGGAAGGTCTGACCAACAGTGCCACAATTTTCACCACAGGGGGCAGGTCCTGTGTTCACCCCAGTTGGAATGGGCATCAAACCCATTCTATTGACTCCAGTTGGTTTACAACAACCAACTGAGCCAACCAGACCCCATGGAGTTTGAGTTGCTACGACAACATATACTTTTACATGTATGTTATGGTCTGGAACTATGACAGAGGTTCCAATTTCTAGCAATCACATTGCTGATCTGATCAGAAATCTGCCCTGCTTTTACCACCTTCCATTGGTAGGAGTTACAAGTTAATATTCAATCTTTTTGTCTATGTTATGAATGCACCTTCTGTGGCCATCAAGTCTTGAAGTGGGCTTTGAACCCAGGGCCTCCGACTCAGAGGTAGGGATGCTACTCTCTGTGCCACTCCAATACAGTGACTACATGGCAAAAAAAAACTTAATTCACTGTAAAGCACTTTTTAAGTGGATGTTGTTTGTAAAAGGCACAATATAAATGCAAGTCAATTTTTTAAAAAGCCAACAGACTGGTCTAATTGCTGGGCTTATCTTTACAATCCTATTTGAACAAGGGTGTGAATTGTGCAATTCTCCAGTCTTCTCACACCTGAGCCGAGGGAAGACTGAAAGAAATGGTCAGTGTCCCCACAATTCCTTCTCTTACCTCTTTCTCATATCCTTCGATGCATCTCATCTGGTCTCAGAGCTTTGTTACTTTAGGAACCAATAGTCTATCCAACATTTCTTCCTTATCAATTTTGAACCCTTTCCCAGACTAGTGCCTAGTGTAAAACAGGCAGTAAACAGTACTTCACTGGTTCCTACTTTTGTGACTCTGGTGCTCCCTGCACAACCACAAACATACATTTTAAAAATGATTTCTCATTATTATGGATAAGCATAATTTTTAACAATTAAAATGATACATATATCTCAAAAGTAAAATTATTAAAGCAAATCAAAAAAAGTTATAAAGTTAATTGAAGGTAGGCCAATTACTTAGTGAATTGCTTTTCAGCCACGCAATTAGAATTGTTCATGTACGATCATGCCTTTAATACATTCACTGATCTCAGATAGGGTAACAGTGAAGGTGCTACAATTAAACTTGGTGCTGTTATTGTAAAGGGATAAAGCAAACCAAATGTTCATTCTTAATCATTATGTGATCATCTTTGAAAGATGTACCTGAAGCACCTGAAAATGACATAAATAGACTGAATTCATTTCATTTATAGAAAACAGAGTAATGGTTAATGGATATTTTTTGGGCTGGAGGAAGATTTGTTGTGGAGTTTTCCAGGGATCAGTATAACCCTACTGCGAAGCCAGTATCAGACCCTTGCTTTTCCTAATATATACTAATATCTAGATTTTGGTGTGCAGGGATCAATTTCAAAATTTGAGCAAGATACGAAAGTATCATTGTAGAACTTGAAATGGACAGAGTGGAGATGCAATGGTGTAGTGCAAATGTTATTGGACTAGTAACTCAGAACATCAGGGTCTATGCACATGGGTCTAACTCACACCATGATGAAATCTGAATTCAAAATAAAAATCTGGAATTGAAAGCTAGCCTAGTTTTAACAATGTAACCACTGTCGATTGTTGTAAAAATCTATCAGGTTCACTGAAATCCTTTAGGGAAGGAAATCTATTTCCTTACTTGGACTGGTCTATACGTGATTCGAGACCCACCACTATGTGGTTGGCTCGTTACTGCCTCTGAAGTGGTCCTAACATGCCTAAGGGGCAATTAGGGAAGGGCAATAAATGCTGGCCCAGCTAACTACACCCATATCCTATGAATGAAAAAAACAAATTTAGCGATGTCAGCAAATTTTATACAGGCATTATCAACTCCTGAGTGCCGAAACTCAGGTATGAAGATTGATTGGAAAATATCAGCACGTCTGGCAGCATCTGTGGAGACAAAGCAAAATTAATGTTTCAGGTCTAGATCTGCTGAATTTTTCAAACAATTTGTGTTTTTGTTTCTGATTTCCAGCATCCACTGTTCTTTGGGTATTTTTTTATGAAGATTGGCTGTTTGTGCAACATATCGTCTAATTGCATCCATTATAGTTTATTCTATCAGTAGAAGAGAGAAGACACTTAATAACGAAATATTTTAAAAAATTATAGAGCATACATGTTAATAGAAGAAGGAAATGCACATTGTGACACGTAAATTTCAGGAAATTTCCAGATTGGTTTCCAAGTTAATGTTGAATTAGCCATAGCAGGGGCATAAGGCATTAATTCACTCATATACCCAACAATGGGTCTGAGAGCGGAAAAGATTTGCCAGCATTCCCTGAAGTGCAGATATTGGCTGATTGTAAATTGGATTTGATATCTTGTAGGGTTAAATAATTCAGTAATGTTGTACTCTAGCCTCAGATATGAATAATGGTTACTTCAGCTCTGTACCTGAGAATGGCTGGATAACAAACCGAATATGATTCATCGTATCAGAAGTGGCATTAGAGAATATCAGGTGAGTTACAAAATTATTTTATTTGCTGACATCGCTTATTTAAGTTTTTGTAAAAAATGTGCTATGTTACAATGTTGTTTATATAATAATACAGTGTATGATGAAATTTGTTTTTATATATGTTATACTCTTTACAGTGTAAACATGGCTGCTTGTTTGTAGAAATTTCTGTAAGACATAGACAACTCTGTTATGCAGTCTTTGCAATCCTTTTATTGGACTCTAGCCAATGTCACTTTGGTATTGAAGGAATAACATTTTTTAATGACCGTAAAACTAATTGTCCCAAATGTGCAAATTATAGAATGACTCCGCTTCTTATTATCAGTAGGCACGAATTCTAAGAATGAAGATTAAGCATAGACCCAAAATAAGCCTAGACTACCAACACAAATTTTAAAAAGATGTCAAGGAGCTTGCTATGATTATACCTATACTGGAGATAGGTCATTTCCATAATTGCTTGGTCTGGAACTCAGCCATACAGATTAAAAGAGTTCACGTTCAGTTAAATGCATTTGACGATCTCAATTAGAAAAACCATTGTGTTGTGTTTGCAAAGGACAATGAGAAGATTTCCATTTTCAATCACTGGTTGGTGGTGCTTCTGAAACACGCATTTTAAGGGACTTTTGAGTCAGACACTGGGACTGAGTTAGCTGCACCCTAATTCTCTTTCCCTTGTGGTCAAGTACTTTGCCAGTGGTAATTGTGCACAACAGACACATGGTTAATAAACTTTGTAGGAAAGACCTGACAGCAACTTACAGAACCCAGCATCCATCTATATCTTAATTGGGAAAGAAGCTAGTTTAAAAAAACTTAACAAATACAACCAAAATTCTAAGCTCTCAGTTTTGTCAGAAAATATTGTTTTACAAATATTATCTCTGAAAATATGTCCATGTGCTACACAAAAATAAATATTAAAGAACATGGTTTATTATGTGAATATCTTGTGAATATATTTGTTAGGTGTTTTGAAGAATTCAGAGGTCCAGGAAGAGAAGCTGTTGTTTTTGCAGTGGTATATCATGATTTAGTAACAAAGCCTGCATCAGTCTGGACAGGACAAGCTTTTTCCTGTGATGTACTGGTAAAGCTCCACTGTTGTCAGAATTGTAATCAATAATATTGTAAGCTACTGAGAATTATTAGGTCACTGCATTTAAGGTACAAGACTTCAGTTGTAATTCACACTTGTTGCAGGAGCAAGTCATTTCAGATCCAGTGTGAACTTTGTTATTTGAGCAATGACACCTGAAGAGACAAAAGAGCTGCTTCTGCATAATAGGGCAAATGAAGCCTGTAATGATTGTATCTGCAAAACAGAACTACAGAACCGCAATTCTCTGATAGTCTCACAAGCAGTAAATAGAGGCATATTTACTGCAAATCTTTCACCTGCTACCAAGAGAATATGCTTGATGTTGGGTGAAGAGGATGAACCCCAAACCCCACAACTCTTCACTGAACTAGATGAACTTTTTTTTGACAATAAGAAACAATTGCAATGGAAGGAAACAGCAAGGTAAGGATTGTTTATTTATTTATTTTGCGTATGTTTGGAGTTCATTTTTAAAAAATGGAAATATATGCAACAAGATTTTGTTAAAAACTCAAATAAATTATGTAAGTAAATAACTCAAAATATTGAAAGTGATATATAGCTATTTTCAGAGAAAATATACATCAACACTGTGAAAACAGTTTGAGCCATTTGGATATCTTAATCTAGTGGTCATTATTTGTGTGTACCTTGACAGAAAATTGATCTATAGATGCTTTACAGCTGAGCTCAATCTTATTCTCACCTCACTCCTGTCAATTTACAATCAGGAGAAATTGCCATGTCTGCCTTTTGCCTGACTTTTCTTTGCCTATCACAAAAGTATGTATATCAATTATAGAAACAGTACCATAGTAACAGCTAAAATTAAGTAATTAGCATCAAATGGGAGAGAATCTGGAATCTCAAAGGCCTGAATGGCTCATTAGTTCAAAAGTTAAATTTGCTGAGCCTTCAGGACAGCCCTTGTGATCTGTATTTCAACCAATGCTATGGGACTGAATCAGGTCTAACACTTAAAAACTCTCCCACACATCTGAATAAGTATAACATCTTAATTAGCTTAAACTAAATTAAGGATATGCCACATTCTTTAAATAAGAAATAAATAGATTTTGAACTCAAAGGATCTTTGGAGATAAGGTAATCTTATAATTAAAATGTTTCACAGAAAGCTATACGCTTTGATTATTAATGCTATTTCTGTTCAATTTCAGTATTTTCCTCAGAGAAAAAATGATGTTAGGATAAAATTAAACCTCTAACTTTTTAATGGAGAACTTAAGAGTAATTATTATGAATGGTGGATACCTGATTCCATTTGAGATTTTTCCAAAACTTTTTCAGTGCTGCTGACTTTGGTCATAGTGTGGCTCCATGGTGATGAGGTACCCTCCAAGACTTCCTTCACTGGATGATTTCTCCCTAGACTCCTGGGAGCACGTGTTTGTTGGTTATTTACATTCACAGACTAATCCCATTCTCACCTGATTGATAATTCCTCTCCCTCATTCACTGGTATTAAACAAACTGTTGTGTTTCAACTGACACCTTGGCTGTTATCTCCCCCGGACCAGGAATGAAATAGCTTTTTGGCTTTTACTCATTGAATCATTGAAACCCCATCCATTTAATCTGCTATTCCTATATATATAATAGTGAGCTTAATGAAGTATTCTTTAGCGGCACAACTACTTATAAGGGCCTTTCATTATGCATTGATTTTCTTGACTAGAACTTCAACTATAACAGTAAATAATCCAGAAACAACTTAAATACAAAAAGCATCACGATATACGTTTAATTAAAGCACCATTCTCATTGTAAGGTAAATCCTCAGTAAGGCAGCATAGGTGTGTTCCAAAAGCCCTGTGCCCCTATCTGAGAAGAAAAGCAATAGCTAGGGTTCTTGCTGTCAATCACTAACCGCTGGGTCCTGATAGAAAATGACCACATTATACTTCAAATTAGAAAATGACCGGGATAAGTTACAATGTCCTGTGCGCCCAAAGAAGCTTCCAATGCTCAGTATTGAGCTCAGGCAGTATGAATGGATAGCTGTCTTTCATGGAACCACGCCCAGTATGAATGACACTTTCAGAATAGAAAGGAGCAAATTAGTTATAAATCTAATACAATTTTGATTGTGTTATTTTGCAGTATTCAGAACAATACAATTCCTGTTGAATGAAGGGACTACCTGTCACAAATGTTGTTGAATAAGAATGTACAGCAATAAACTGCTGATGAGATAATCTAAGTTTTTTGAAGTCAAATGTGAGCTACCAAACATTCACCTTTTGAATAAAGTCAACTGATATGCTTAATAAATACATTTTATTGTGAATAGCCTTCCTGCACTCTGTCCAGGGTAACCACAGGAAGAAGAGCTAGTTGTTTGAGATACTGGAGGATTGTTTCAGTGCTCTTTAAAGGAGTACTACAGCATGGATTAGTGAATTCAGGAGTATACAGGATAAGACACTTATGTGAAATCATGGGCAGTTCAGTTTCTTTATAATTTCTACATTAATTGCTGTAAAATTGGCAAAACCATCACAATTAAATCGTAATTTTTAAAAATGATTTTCTCCTTGCACTGCCCTGCACGTTGAATCTGTTGATTCTTTGCTATCGTACTTGACATCTCCACTAATTCACTTGCATTTATTGCCTGTCTGTAATTGCTGTTAATATGGTGGTGACTTAACTTGAACCATTACAGTTTACCTGCTGCAGATAAAGCCACGGTACTGTTATAGAGGGTGTTCCTGTTTTTTAACCCAGCGAACCCAATGAAGGAGCATTATATTTCTTAGTTAGGATTTTGTGTGCCGTGAAGGAGTATTTGTAAGTGTGCATGCTCACATACATCTGCTGCCCCTTTGCTAAGTGGTAGAGGCTGCAAGTTTAGAAGGTACTGTCAAAAGAGGCTTTGGGTATGTGATTTAACAATGAGAGTTAGCTGGCTGTTGGTACAAAATCTAACTTTGGAGCATTGAGGCCAATTGAAATACCACTGCTATTATCCATGGTGACATTCATTAGTTCAGAAAAAGAATGTAACTGGGGATAATAAGTAATTTTAAGCACTCAGGAAGCCTGACTAGAAAGGAACATTATTTATTGTTGAACACCGAAATAGAGCCACAACTCACGGTGTAAATAGGCCAGTCCCAGCCCGGGTCAAGCAGTTCTGTAAACCCATCCCTGGGTCTGCTTTATGATAATTTCTAATCTACCTATTCTGCGATGTTAATACACAGCTCTGGAGCAGGTCGGTCTTGAACCCAGGTCACCAGGCTCAGAGTTAGAGACACTACCACAGTGCCCACAAGAGTCACCCTGGCTCAGATGTTCAAGCGTGACAGACCACTGCCTATTATCAAGGGAACTCATACTCACCAAACTCCACAGGGAGATTAATTAGGGCATTGTCAGGGTTATTGCTGTAAGTAGAATCTCCATAGTCCTACTGGACCATAGGGCTACTCTCTTATTAGAGAGAAAGAGACAGCTGGTGGTGGTTTGACTCAAGGGTCACTGCACCTCAGGTGATGGGAGAGGTTAAGAAGGAGTCCTTTATGGTAACCTCACCATTCCAATAGATATGCTGAGAAATCTCACCATGTCTTAGAGCGAGAATCCCTCTTAAAAACATCAATGCAGTTCACAATTAGCCAAAAAAAATGATTCAGCCAATGGCTTGGGAGTTCAAACATTCTGCTGCCATTCGCCAGGTGCCAAGTGGGCTCAAAATGGGCTGGAAGTGTGCCAGATCTATATCGAATAGGACTTAAGATGGCAGAAAGATGGAAAACTCTACATAACTTCTTAAAAATAGTATCATGTGCTTGCTAGAGGTGTCTTTTTAAATCTTGATGTTGTGCAATGCCTGTCACTTTCTAAACTCACATGGTTCTGCTGTTAACTTTGGATGTAAACCAGCATTTCTAACAATAGCTTCTCTTTGAATGCAAATACTGATTCCTTGGGATACTGAAAAAAGGATCTAACTGGATATGCACCTGAAACCACCCCCCCCGACCCAGATAAAACATTGGAAAATGAGATTAGACTGGATGATTTGTTTCTTGGCCATGCAGATACATTGGGCAGCATTGATTCTTTCTATACTGTAAAATTTTATAACTTTTCTAAGTATCTTTAGAGAATGAAGGTGTTAGGATCTGGGGAGAGGGTGGGGGAGCAACATATATTGCTCTATTGGAGGACCAGCGCAGACATGATGGCTGCCTTCTATGCTGTAATAATTCTAAGAGGATAACGACAGCTGCCTCCTCTTGATTATCAAAGTGCCCTCCGTTTTACAACTTCTTTAAATATGAAATTGACTTCAACATGTATGGGGATGCCACTCCTCTACCGAACTACCACCTTCCTTGATCCTCTACATTTTGTCTGACATTAAGGCCAGATCTACTGGTCTAGGATATTTTTCAAGCATCAAATTTATTTCTGGGGACCAAACAGGAAGGAGTCTGTTAGTAGGTCATCTTCAGGTTTGGTGCCTAATTAGGGATGGGATGGGTTCCAGAGGTGAAAGTTTGATCTGCCAATCATATTGCTCGGGTTTAGCCAGCAGCATTCGCAGCCTCACCAGTGAGAGTGGCAGAAACTCGATGACGGCACCACCATAACTAGGGAAATGGCTGCCACTACATTAGTGACACTACTGTTGGATTGAGACATTAGTCTCCAGGAGATCCTGATGAAATGGGAAATCTCCATACCATGAACACAGTGTCTAGTCTCCTATTTTTCATGCCCATGCATATTTCATATCCTTAAAGTCGATTGTATCTCAGACCTTCCACTGTACAACTCCTCCTCACAGTTATCAGGACATTGACACAGTAGCAGGGCTATGTGATGCTTGGAAGATTGCATTGCTGAGGTCAAATCCATGATAATCTGCTCATTAAATATCTTAATTGATATCTTCTGGAACTATCTCCTGGAAAAGCACAAGGAAGCAGGAACATCTTACAGAGCCAGCTTAGTACCTTTTCGTCCCTAACTTTTGCAACAACCAACTCACCCCTTCATAACTCCAGCTCACCCCTTTCCCAGAAATTTCATGTTCTCTGTTTTGAATGAGCCTTAGCTTCATCCAGCTAAATATTGGGAACTATCAAGCAATCGTCGATTGTTCCCACTTTAAATACTTATCCTTGCCACCCACTCCATATCCCTTCTCAGTCAGTAACAATCTAAACCAGAAGGGCGTATCCTTTATGTTGTTCCATCTAAGGCTGAGTTTCCAATCCATATCCTCCACATTATAAGGACTGCATGTAAAATTATTCACTACCGCTCCTACTTTAGCCCACTTCCTTCTGAAACAGTTCCCTTACAGTCATGTCACATCCAATTTTCATTGTTCAAATAATTTCATGGCTATCATTGCATCCTAAAGCTACAGTACCTCAAATCCAAAATTTGTCGTGTTTAAATTTTGCTAAAATTTGGAATTCTCTGTCTCTTGAACCAGGTTTCCCTGCAAGTCGCACGCATCCAATTTCAGAACTATAGTGTCATTCTTCCACTGTCACTGGGTCAAAATTACAAGAATATTCTTCCAAACAGCACTGTGGTTGCATTGACACCTCAGGACTGCAGCAATACAAGAACACTATTCATTACCACCTCTCCGGGCCAATTAGGGATGGGCAATAATGAGCCAGTGATGCCCATGTTTCAAGATCAAATTTAAAAAATAAACTTCCCCCACAAATTGGTCATGCTTCTCAATCTGGCTTCATGGATCCTCTCCCTTAGCCCCACCATTAGTGGTCATGCTTTCAGTTGACTTGATGCCAGACTTTGACATTCCTTCTTTAAACGCCCCTAATTTCCTCTCCTCCTTCAAACGTTTCCCTAAGACCCATTTCCTTGACATAGCTTTTGATATCTTCATAATAGCTTTTTCTTTGGCCCAGTGCACATTTTCCTCTTGTGTTTCTGAATTGTCTTAGAATGACTGTAAGATAATGATACTATATAAGTGGCAGTTCATTATAATTTGTGTGTTATGTGTAATTTATTGAGCAAAAATATAGCCCTTGAATTGAATAACATCCATGTATTTTCTAATTCCCATTCTGTTATTCATTCACAGGTGGATAAAGTTTGAGGAAAAAATTGAAGAAAGCGCTGAAAGATGGAGCAAACCTCATGTGACCACATTGCCCTTACACAGTTTATTTGAGCTACGTACCTGCATTGAAAGGGGAACACTTCTGTTTGATTTAGAAGCAAACAATTTTAAAGAAATATTAGGTAATTATGAATAAGTACTGTAAGCAACTAACGATTAAATTGGATTGACACAAATCAAGATAGCACAGGAAACACTTCAATGAAATTTAACTTTTATAAGTTTAAAATGCAAGTTTATCTTAATGAGATAACGAACACAGCAGGCCAGGCAGCATCAGAGGAGCAGTAAAGTTGATGTTTCGGGTCAGGTCCCTTCTTCAGAAATGGGGGATGGGCAAGGGAGCTCAGAAATAAATAGAAAGAGGAGGGGTGGGGCTGGGGAAGGTAGGTGGGATGGTGATAGTTGAGTGCAGGTAGGGAGTGGTGGGGATTGGTAGTGAGGTGGGAGGGGCGGATTGTGTCAGGTCAAGGAGGGGGGGATGAGAGGGAGGGTTGGTCATGGGATGAGGCTAGGGGTGGGGAGATTTTAAAACTGGTGAAATCCACGTTTAGGCCGTTGGGCTGTAGGCTCCTGAGGCGGAACATGAGGTGCTGCTCCTCCAGTTTGCAGGTAGCGTCATTGTGACACTGGAGGAGGCCCAAGATGGACATATCACCCATGGAGTGGGAGGGGGTGTTGAAATGGTTTGTGACCTAAAGGTGTTGTTGTTTGTCGCAAACAGAGTGCAGATGCTCTACAAAACCTTTCGTAGCCTCTCCATGACCCCCTCATCCGCTCCACACTCCCCACTAACCCCACCACCCCCTGCACCTTCCCTGCAACTCAGGAAGTGCTGCACCTGCCCCTACACCTCCCCCTCACCTCCATCCAAGGCACAAAACAAACCTTCCCCATCAGACATGGGCTCACCTGCACATCCGTCAACTTGGTCTACTGCATCTGCTGCTCCCGATGTGGCGTCCTCTACATCGGTGAGATCAAGCAGAGGCTTGGAGACTGCTTTGTAGAGCATCTGCACTCTGTTCGGGACAAACAACAACACCTTCCGGTCGCCAACCATTTTGACTCCCCCTCCCACTCCCTGGGTGACATGTCCATCCTGGGCCTCCTCCAGTGTCACAATGACACGACCCACAAACTGGAGGAGCAACACCTAATATTCCACCTCGGGAGCTTACAGCCTGATGGCCTAAACGTGGATTTCAACAGTTTCAAAATCTCCCCCTTACCCCGGCCTCATCCCATGTCTAACCCTTCCTCTCGTCCCCACCTCCTTGGCCTGACACAACCTGTCCATCTTCTCTCCCACCTATCCGTCCCTCCCACCTCACTGACCAGTCCTCACCACTCTCTATCTGCCCTCACCTATCACCATCCCGCCTATCTACCCTACCCCACCCCTCCTCTTTCTATTTATTTCTGAGCTCCCTTACCTCTTCCCATTTCTGAAGAAGGGTCCCGACCTGAAACGTCGACTTTCCTGCTCCTCTGATGCTGCCTGGCCTGCTGTGTTCCTCCAGCTTCACACTGTGTTATCTCTGACTCCAGCATCTGCAGTTCTTGCTATCTGTTTATTTTAATGAAACTATCCTGTGACATTCAGCAATAAAAGCGCGCTTTCAGACCTTCTACAGATGAAATATTTTCTGTTTGGTGAGAAGAGTTGCCAGCTGCACACCATTTAGCTGTGGATTTTGTTTTAGGTTAGGATCAGATTCAGCATGTTTGACCTTGCCATTGCAACAGTTAAATAGCCTTCTACATGTAAACCAATATTAGTTTGCTGTTTTTCTGAAGGAGGGTCCTGACCTGAAATGTCAGCTTTCCTGCTCCTCTGATGCTGCCTGGCCTGCTGTGTTCATCCAGCTCCACACTGTGTTATCTCTGACTCCAGCATCGGCAGTTCTTACTATCTCTTAGTTTTGCTGTGGCTACTTTTCTTATATGATTGTCTTATGAATAACTATTAAACATTATGACATACAAGCCAAAATATCTCCGGCTTGATTCTTAGTTGACACTCTGATTCAGCTGAGGAAATTGCTAGGATACTATCATTGGCCTCAGTGCCCTGAGCTTGTAAAATGATATACAGCAGACCATCTATATGCCAGCAATGCCAGCAAAATCACACAATCCACCAACTCATTACCAGGTTGTTAGTTATATTGAACAACAGTATTTTTAAATTTTTGATTGAAAGTGAAATTTCACGATTTTGATGTTATCAGAATAAAATGTCATGTGATGGCCTAAGAATAACAGAATGGCGACAGCACAGAAGGAGGCTCTTCAGCCAATTGTGTTCATCCTGGTGCTTTGAAAGATCAACTCACCTCTTCCATTTCCCTGTAACCCAGCAAACATTTTCTCTTCAGATAATTATTCAAGTCTCATCTGAACGCCTTGATTGAATGTGCCTCGAGCATACACTCAGGCAGTGCATTCCAGATCCTAACCACCCATTACATAAAAACATTTATTCTCATGCTATTTTTGCTTCTTTAGTCAATAATCTTAAATTTGTGCCTCCCTCCATTACGTACTTAAATTCTCAATTAGCAGTGAAACAGGAAGGCCATCAGTATTCCTGCCTGTCACACAGGAGACTGGGGGTCAATTCCCTGATGGAGAATCCATGGTATATCTGAACTGGGAAGTGTATAAGTAAGTTTCAGAGATAGTAGGAACTGCAGATGCTGGAGAATCTGAGATAACATGGTGTAGAGCTGGATGAACATAGCAGGCCAAGCAGCATCAGAGGAGCAGGAAGGCTGACGTTCCAGGCCAAGACCCTTCTTCAGAAATGGGGGAGGGGAAGGGGGTTCTGAAATAAATAGGGAGAGAGGGGGAGGCGGATAGAAGATGGTGGAGAGGAGACAGACAGGTCAAAGAGGCAGGGATGGAGCCAGTAAAGGTGAGTGTAGGTGGGGAGTTAGGGAGGAGATAGGTCAGTCCAGGGAGGACGGACAGGTCAAGGGGGTGGGATGAGGTTAATAGGTAGGAGATGGGGGTGGGGCTTGAGGTGGGAGGAGGGTATAGGTGGGAGGAAGGACAGGTTAGGGAGGCGGGGACGAGCTGGGCTGGTTTTGGGATGCGGTAGGGGGAGGGGAGATTTTGAAGCTTGTGAAGTCCACATTGATACCATTGGGCTGCAGGGTTCCCAAGCGGAATATGAGTTGCTGTTCCTGCAACCTTCGGGTGGCATCGTTGTGGCACTGCAGGAGGCCCAGGATGGACATGTCGTCTGAGAAAGGGAGGGGGAGTTGAAATGGTTCGCGACTGGAAGGTGCAGTTGTTTAGTGCGAACTGAGCGTAGGTGTTCTGCAAAGCAGTCCCCAGGCCTCCGCTTGGTTTCCCCAATGTAGAGGAGGCCACAACGGGAACAGCGGATGCTGGATGTTCATCCAGCTCTACACCTTATTATCTCAGTGTATAAGTAAGGATGTGTTTTGAGGGGCGCCTCTTGTGATGCAATGGTAGTGTTCCTAACCCTGGATCTGGAGACTTGGGTTCAAATCCTATATGCTCCAGCAGTGTGTAATAACATCTCTGAACAGGTTGATTAGGAAAATAGGTCAAATTAAAAAAAATGAGTTATCCTAACCTGGCCTTAATTGAAGCAGAGTGGGGAAGATAACAGGTTACTCCCTGCCAGCCTTCCCCTAAGTAAATTACTGCTCCATTCCTCTTCCAAACTTGCCTTGGGGGAAAGGTTTAAATTCCACTTGGGCCGTATGAGAATATGGAATAAGAGAACAATGGGCTCTGATGTGATGCTGACCAACCTGTGAATACTAACGTTCTTGGCTTCCATGTGGAGAAAAGTTAAATGGACAAGTTGTCAGACTGCTAATCTGTGCTGAATCATACCTTGATAAATATCAGGCTACAGGAGTCAAGTTAGTAGGAGAAAATAAAACAATTTTTGATACTTGTTATGCACATTTATTTTGCATCAAATTCTGAGCCAAGTTTTATCTTCCAAATATTTCAGAGATAATAGTCAACAGTGAAATGTCAACTGGCAATCTGAAAAATGTGCTCAAGGAAAAGGTCATGTACGTCCTTCTTAGGAATCACAAGCATCATATAAAGAAGTGCAGAATGCAGACCATGCTCGATCTGTGGAGGAATGCTTCCTGTGCAAGTAAGTCAATTCTTTAAGATGCGCAAATGCAGACCTTTCTCTCTAAAGATTTCTTGACACTTTGCAGCTTTTAACACGTACCACAAGGGCAGCGAGGCAACTTATTCCCAGCCAATGCAGTTCAGGCAGCTTTAATTACTCAGAAGGTTGAGATTATTTTTATTTCACTTCGCTGACTTTTTTTGTTTGTTCTTTTCCAACAGCAAATAACATATTTTAACGTGTGGTTTAATACACACCGTCAGCTTTTGATATCTTTCTCATGTGATCCTGAAGGCTTAAAATACTTCCCTCCCTATTGGAGGTTATGGGGAGGTGGTTTGGGTTGTCATCATGAGCTTAGCACTTGGCATTTCTCTAATAACTTATTAAAGATAAAGGACTTGGTAATTAGGAAATTATTAACGTGAATTCTGCAGCTGAACTGAACTGAAATAATTTGGCAAGACTAGTGTTTACTGCTAATTTAATGATATGAAACAATGCACTATTGCTGTGTTTTTCGTATTCCGACTGACTTCATTCCATTGTGCTACTTCACCTTGGGGTAGTTTCGTCTTTTTTTATGAGGTTGCATAATTTGCACTATTTAACATCTTTCTGGCTGACACGCTGTCACAACGCTGAAGGATACAAAAAACTCAGCTGTTCTGCCATAGAGATGGCTGATTTTATCAACTGTAGTCTGATATTTACCACTCTCCACTAAATGACCTAGTTGAGAATATACTCAGTTGGGTCACCAGAGAGCAGATTCCAACATTTGTATGTTTTTTTTGATATAATTACATATTTATAGATTTATGTTTATATATAACAGCAGTCAAACCTGGCGTGATACCCAAGTTCATTGTTAGGAAACAGAAGTCTGTTTTGTTTTATAACTTGGATTTGAGAAGGTATTTTGTCCTACACTATACTGTAAACAGGAAATATATAAACTTCTGGGTTTAGGCATAATGTCATTCTGTAATACCAGCATAACTGATTGTTGTCGAGCATGTAAAAATTATTCGTGCACACTTGAACCTAATGTGGTAGAACGATGAGAAACTATAGAATTCAGTTTTATGGTTTGCTACACCTCAAATGATTGAGAATGGAGTTGTCTGAACAATATTGACTTGAAATATCTTGGGTTTAATTGCTAATTACTCTCCTTCAAAGTAATTTCAGTCTGAGGTAGTTCTATGGTTTTTAAAGGTGACTGTTCGGTTAACGTTTCACTCTAAATCATTATCCAGTTGAAAATGTGCAGAGGATTGGACTTGGTTGTGATGATAACATGAATAGAATTTGCCCTATTTTCGGAACTCAATATTTTACAACTCTCAATACAGTCTACTCTGTCACTAAATGCTAACATTTAAAACCTTCATTTTCCTTATCCTTTTCTCACTGAAGGTTTTTTTTGTTGATTTTCTCTTCATCCTTCAATTTATTTTGTGTGGTGAGCAGGGTTGCATATTGTATTCCAAGTAAGATTGGATTGATACATTATACTATGTCAGATTAATGAGGAAATATAATAACATAGTTCTGGATATGTATCACAGTGTGCCATTTGTGTTCTAATTGCTTTTTTCTGCTGAATATACATAAACAACATTTACATGTATGTTAGAGATAAAAAGAACAGTTGTTTATCCATGATTGGTGATGTTCTGCCTGTGGGATAGAACAACAGTAATGGTAGGATGCACGATCTTTGTTTTTATGTTACACTTGTGCTGCAGCATTGAAGATTTTGATGCAATCCAACACAAAGGACAGTAGATATTTGGAATTCGCTTCCATAAATGCAATTGATGATAGATCTGTTGTTAATTTCAAATCTGAGATAAATACATTTTTATTAAGCATAGGTATTAAAAGATATAGGCGAAAGGCAGGTATATGGAGTTAGGCCACAGATCAGCCCGGATCTCATTAAATAGTGGTAAAGGATCGAGGGGCTGAATGGCCTACTCCTATTTATATGTTCCTATTCTATTTAAATATTCTATGTCTCATAAGACAGTGACAAATGTCCAGAACTGATTCTTTGCTGTATGTTTGAGTGTCTAGCTATTCCAGTCTGATTTATGATCGTAGTAAAAAGAAAGCTATGTCAGTTTATAAAAATAAATGTAAAACAAAAGCTAAATATCTGAACACTTGCATATATTACTAAATGCTGACCAGCAGATAAACTTTTTTCCACCATTAGTATTTCTGTTACCAGGAATAATTTAGTAGGGTCTCACAAGTCAGTCAATTATGTTACGATAAAGTTTCCAAGTTTGAGAAACTAATTAAAACTATATGTCAATAAAATATTTTACCTTTCTGTTCAGATAAATCTGCTCCCTTGAATTCTAGCACAACTGTGGACTTCACAAATGAAATCTCAGAGAAACCTCTCCAGGAACAGGTAAATGGTTATTTTTCACATGGTGTTAAGTTTGCTTTCTCAAACCTCTCTCAGAAGAAACTGTGGTTATTTTGAAGTTTCTAAGATATTATTCATGTCAACAAACTAATCAATAAAATGTAGTAATTTTAATGTAATATCATATCAATAGTAATGGTCATACAGTTCAATAGTTACCTTGCTAGATCGTAGCTCCCCTGATATAATATGAAATTCTCATGGTCAGCAAACAAAGACTCAGAAAGGCATGGAGGGAATACATAGAAATTGCAACACAGAAATAGTTATTTGGTCAAAAAAAAGCAATTAGACCTTTGGCTTTTACTCCCAAAAGCCCTGCCCCACAAGCAAGTGGTTCATAATTACACTTTCCCATCTGTTAACAAATTCACTTGTCCTCTCTTTCTTCATCCACCTATCCAATTTAATCGTGAATATTGAAATTTTTTTTGCCTCAGCCACCAAAACTGGAAACAAATCCCACAGACAACTCTTGCAGCACGAGAAGGTTATTCCTGATCATTGTTCTGAATCCCCTGGATTAACCTTCATCATATTTCTCATTATCTTTCTTGACATATCCAGTACAGGAATTAGTCTGTTTACTCTGTCAGATTCCATCATATAAACATTTTGTCCTTAAGTTGCATTTTTCTAATAAGATCCAGTTTTTAATGTGAAAGACAGCATCTCCAACAATGCAGCATTGCCTTAATTGAGCATTGAAGAGTTACCTTGATTTTTGAACCCAGGTCTCTGATTTGGAATTTGACCTCCTAACCCAATGATAGAGGGACAATGTTGATCCGATTGAGCCACAGCTCAGAAAAAGTTTGTCTTTTTGAATTGAATGTTACTAGAAATCAGTTGTCAATTTTGGTGAGTTTCATGGAGGGCTTCTCTCTGAGCCCAAGCAAGATTTCTCATGCTACTCTCCAAAGCGTGCCCCCAAAACACCCCTATGGAGAGCTGCTTAGTGTATCTCTCCCTTTGCCACAGACAGAAGTACACACCCGTCCTGGCAATTCTCAGGATTCCCTGCACTGGCCCCATATTTAATATGCTGCCAGTTCAGAGTCACCCTGCATGGTTTGTATGAATTGCCCTGGAGATGATGATTGAGGAAAAATTGGCACAGGCTTTGTTGATAGAGATCCGGAGATCCTGGTGGAGAGGGTGGTTCAGTGGAGGCTGCCCTCTTCCCTCACGACTGCCAGAGGGAACCTCAACACTGCCAGCCTAGTCTAAAGTTACTACCTGGGTCAGTCCAGTGTCGATGATCCAGAGGAATGCCCAGTAATGCCATAAGAAAGCTCATGACCTTCTTTGCTCTGTGAGGTTAAGTGCCACTCTCTTCACTCTCATGTGTCCCACTCACTCTATCTCTGCTACTGTACCCACCTCCCGCCAAGACCTATGGTTTGCCACTTTCACTATTGCCTGCAACATCTTCCCTCACCCACTCTCACCCACCCAATCCCTCCGCACTACTGGCCTGGCTTAGCCTTTGTATTGCCTACTCACTCACTTGGGAGACCTCGCCACCTTTCCGTAACCTGTACCAATCTACAGCCGTGCCAGCCACTTTCATCTCCCTCAATCCCTCCTGCTTTTGTTCCAGAATAGGGTGGAGAGGACCAGGAAGGGTGGTGGAGTGTCCAGTGATTGGCTCCTCACCCGCTCCGAAGAAAGAATTCTGGCTCTGGCCAGTGACCTTTCTCGGTGATGCCAAATGAGCCAGCATCTGAATAAGAGTCCTCTGTGAATGGTGTCTTAACAATCCCAAACTGCCACCCATCCTGTGAAACAAGCGAGGTGTCCCAAGATGCACCCTGGTCAAACCTGAAGTGTGTGACCGTCACTGTGTGCAAAGTGCCCTGGCAGCAGCATTCCAACGAAAGGTGCAGCAAAATGCAGCACTGAAATGCAGAACTATCTTGCAAGCGAATTGTAGATATCCCTTGAGGTTGTGGGAGACTGGTTCCTAACTGATGCCAATGCCTGTGGATATGGGTGGTGGTGACTGCTTGCAGTTGCTGCCCATGGAGTGTGCCGTAAGATGTTGGCGACTGATGTGCAACCTGCAGGGCCAGGAGGAGTAAGTGGTGAGCTGGAGTCGCCAGGTGCCCACTCAGACTTTCATGTCAGGAATTATCACTGTCCAGTTTCTATCGGTAGGTGGGAAAATGGGAAACTGAATATACATAAAGTGAGATTAACTAAGAGTCTGAATTATGTCAATTCATGCAAGTGGATGTAAATACACCTATCACTGCTCACGAGTCAGATCTTGTCTCAAAGTTCAACAGTTATTTAGAATCGTTATCAACTATTTAGATAACAGGCATTTTGCTCTTGATGTCAACAATCTCATGACTGATGATCTCTCTCAATTTTGCCAACATTTTCACCGAAGTTCATGTCATTCAGGGACTTGGAAGATTTCAGCCCTGGCCTCCATCACTTGCTTGCAAAAGACAAGGCACATGTACCTGCTTTGTTAACTGTTCAATGTGGGAACTTGTGTTGGCTTAATTATTTTCTGCTGATTTTTGAAAAACAAATAAGTTTACTGTTTTTGACAATTATTATTTTATATGAGTTGAAAATTAAAATCTGTTATAATTTCACCAAAGTTACATTCACATTTCTGAATTTATTATTTTAGTTGAAAAATACTTTCAAGAAGCAGATCCCTGAAGGTGCTGAAGCTGCAAATGTGCTTGTGGGTGAAGTAGATTTTTTGGAGAAGCCATTTGTTGCCTTTGTACGATTAAAGCAGGCTATGATCCTAGGGGCTCTTACGGAGGTTCCACTACCAACCAGGTAAGGATATTGTATTATATCAGTTATTGTTGCAAATATTATTTTAACCACAAATGAAATCACCATTTCCCGTTGACTTGCATTGGGATGTGGTTCTCTGTCAATTCTCTGTATCGTCCTGGATGGCATTCTGCCAGTATGAGTCTGAGCAGTGATTGTGGCAAGACTATTTGAGGCATGGTGACTGTGTCCTACATACTAAGCTCCATGAGTATTTCATGGTCAGCTGGGAACAGGGCAGGATCCCACCGGATTTTAGTGATGCCGTTTTCATCACATTGTACAAAAACAAAGAAAAGTTGAGTGACCGTGGGATCACGCCACCTTTTGCTGGGAAGATCCTGGCTGGAGGGCTCCTGACCATGCTTGTGCCTACCATTGTGGAGGAAAACCTATCAGAAAGCCAGTGTGGTTTCAGAGTAGGCCGAGGCACCACAGACATCGGGATGTCAGGGCTTGAGTCAGAGCTGATGGAGATTGGTGGTAAAGTTGGGGGGATGTTGGGTCAGGAGGAGGAGGGGGATGTCAGGCGCGATGTCAGGTGAGGAGTTGGTGGGAGAAATGTTGGTGGTCAAATTTGGGTAGGCTTTCAGGTCGGGGGAGGTGACAAATCGGGGGCATCGGATTGCAGGACATCAGGAGTTGTCTTGTGGGGTGTGTTGGGGGTTAGGTCAGGCTGTGTGCTGGGGTTTAGTTTGGGCAAGTGGTACTGGGTTGTGAGGCTCCTTCTTTTGTCAGGGGTCCTGGGCAGTAACTGGGGTGAGGTCCTTGTGGCAGAGCAGGGGTCGGGTGGGGGTGCTCACAGGTTGACCCCGGGCAGGTTTGGGCAGGTATCAGTGTCTATGGGAGTTTGGGAGCACTTAATCAGTGGGAGAGAGCAGTGGTGAGTTGTAGGGGGTAGTTTTGTAGTTATGCAGGGATCAGAGCAGCTTTTGATTATTCTTAGTTTTCCTGGGTGACTATTTAAGTACATGAGTAGGAACCATTTGAAGTCTCCAACAATAACTCAGAGTAGGGGACATTTTTTTAGGCAGAATCTTCAACTTCCAGATCATTATAAAGCAGAGTCAGCTGCTTTGGGACTTCTGCTTGGTTCCTGTGCGTATCTCTTATCTATACTGCAGCAACAATTATCTTCTTATTGGAAGAGAAAGGCCAATGAGTTTTACGCTTATGTTTAAATTGATTTCCAATTGATTTTCTGATTTTGACAGCTCCTAGTCAAATTTTCTTCTGCTTTACAGAGCTCTGTCTCCACAGTTGCCAGCCTTTCTTTTACACAGCAATAAAAGACACATGATGCATGCAATATCTTCAGAACAATCAACAATTGTAATATGATCAACCTTATAATTTCAAATGGTTGAAAATGCTAAAAACAATGGGTTATGATATAGGGAAGGTAAACTTTTATTGGTATCATTTTTCTTTGTAAAGCTATGCATTAATTTTGTTGGCCAGAGTTAAATTTTGTAATCTGCTCCTGCTCTTGTTCAAACTTTTACCCAAACCAAACTTGATTTTATTTTCTATACAAATTCTAGCACTGATATAATTTTATTTCACATTATTCATTGCTGGCTCAGCCAGCACTTATTGTCCATCCCTTATTGTGCAGAGGGTAGTTCAGAGTCAACCACATTGCTGTGCTGTGAAGTCATATGTAGGTCAGACCAGGTAAGGATGGCAGATTTCCTTCCCTAAAGGGTATTAGTGAACCAGACGATTTTTAAGACAATTGACATGACCACCATTGAGCTAATTTTGAATTCCAGAATTTTTATTGAATTCAAATTTCACTACTTGACCATGGTGGGATTCAAACCTGTATCCTTGAGCAATAGCCTGGATCTCTGGATAATTGTCCGGTGACATACATTCCCCTGTATGAACCTAATGGCTCCTTTTTGTGCTATATTTTCTATAATTCATATGTCTAGCACGGAAGTATACTATAAATTATTTTTTTATTAGGTTTTAATGTGTTTCTTGGTTGATTTTACAAAAAGCCCCCGGTCACACATGCAACGTGCCTCTGATGTTCAGATAGATGTTTGAGACCTCACAAATACCCTAAAACAGAAAGTGGGTCTGGAACAGTTCTACTCAGAAATAATGTCTCATTATCTTTTTTTTTCAGGTTTCTATTCATTCTCCTTGGGCCGAAAACTAAGGCAATGGCTTATCATCAAATTGGGAGAGCTGTTGCAACTCTGCTTACTGATGAGGTAAGCTAGAAATCTATTATAAAATTAAAGCTTTTGTAGTAATTTATTAACTGCACAAAAAGGACAAATATACAAGCTGTAATGTTAACTTTACGCGGCATTTATAATTTAATACCTTCAGTAAAAACAAATAAGAGAAAAAGGAATTGAGTCTTTCGTATTTTAGTAATTTGTCTCACCCATGTTTATAGGCACAAAATATTACAAACTTTTTTTTCAGCAATGTACAGTTTCCTTCTCAATGCTGTGTAACTTGTTATTATGCACCCTCCTTTAACTGCTTGCATGATTTTGGTTCAAACCTCCGCAAGTCTGTCGTGATCACACAGCCCAGTCTATAGAACTGGAGCTGCCAGGCAGCCATTTTCTCCCTGACCCTATGGTCAAATTCCTTTGATACCTAATACTCCCTTCTCTTCAAGTAACATCTATTTGCTAGAGAGTAGACAGCTGTGTGCACAATCCTGCTGTCAGACTGATTGGTATTCCTGTGCAGTCCCTTATATCAATGAGTCATCTTTTCTTAATCATTGACCGTTTACTTTCCACTGCATGGTTCTCATGGTGATAGAGGGCATTCAATGAAAGAGCAGGATCAAAGCTCTCATGGAAAGGAAAACAGCAAGTGTAGCAAGCAAAGGTTCCACTACTGTCTCAGATCGGGAGAAATCTTTAATACCATCTGAAATTAATGTCAAGATTTGCTTTTTGTTGCATTTTAGAGTTTTTGATTTGACCACAATATGTGGGTGTTTCTGGCCAGTCTAAGATTTATGGCCTACCCCTAAGAGAAAGTGATGGTGAGCTACCCCCTTGAACAGTGCATGTATACTCATACAGCTATTAGGAGGACACTGAAAGAACAGCCACATAGTTCCAAATCAGGATGGTAGGGTGACTTGGAGGGAAACCTACTGTACACCTGCTACCCTTGTCTTTCTAGGTTTTTGAGATCAGAGGGTTGAATGGTGCTTTCAAAGGCGACATCATGAGTTGCTGCTGTGCATCTTATATGTGGTAGACACTGCTGCAACTATGGGTTGATGATAGAGGTGGTGAATGGGATGCCCATAAAGCCGGCTGCTTTTTTTCTGGATGGCATTGAGCTTTTTGAGTGCTTTTGGAGTTGTACCCATCCAGGCAAGTGGAGAGTATTCGATCACATTCCTGACTTGTGCCTTGTAGATGCTGGAATGATGTTTGGAGTCAGGATGCAAGTTATTCATCTCAGAATTCCCAGCTTCTGACCTGCTTTTGTGGGCACTATGATTATATAACTGGTTCTGTTCATTGGGGCTGCATGTGTTGGTGGTTAAGCTGGTTACGTATTGAAGGTTTGTGCCAGGCTATGCACAGTTGGCTGTCCCACTCCATGATTTCCTGAGGAAATGAGCAAATGCTGAAGGAATGGTTGGGGAAGGATGTGTGAGGCCCGATCCTTCATGAAGCATCACAGGAAGTTGTCCTCCAGCATGTGAAGATTGCTTTCCGTCATCAGACAGAAGCTTATCTAATCATCTTCTATCCTTGGCTATCAGATTTCCATGTCCCTTTCATATTGGAAACCAATGCCAGTTTCCTTGGACTAGGAGCAATGCTGTCACAAGCTCAAATGTGGAAAAGAATGGTTATTGCCAATGCCATCAAGCTAAATCAGGGGAATATATTATGGAGAAATGCTCCAGTATGAAACTTGAAATACGAACTTTGACGTGGGCTATTTTCAAGTTTGAAGTCATACGGATTGTTGCAGCATTTAAAGTGTTTACAGTCAGCAACTCACTCGGCTACTTTCGAATGTCCCCACAAGCTTGGAGCAACAGAGACCCAATGGGCCACTGACCTCACTCAGTTTTGATTCCAAATCTGATATAGTTCAGGCAAAAATAATGTAAAAGCTGATACCCTCAGTTGGAAGACAGATTGTGGGAGGGAACCCACCCCAGCCAGCCTGGTGAGGGCTACGGCTGTCACTATGCCCATGTCTAAGTCAAAGGCAGCATTCCAGTGCTAATTCCCTATGACATTTGGGCCAAGGTCCCAGAGCATGTCCCCAATGCACTTGAGTGAGATCCAAACCAGTCCATACAGTTTCACCTTTGCCATGTCTCTCAAACAAGGATTTCTGACAACTTCAGCTGATTGATGTGGACATCAGTAGACTTCACCATTACTGGAATGTCTAAACGCCACCCCCATCCAATTCCAGCTGATGAACCCAAACAGGCACAGAAACTGCTGAGGTGCTGGAAGAGGATCAGGGAGGAGGAAGGAGTCCTCTATCGTCTGGTTCATGATAAGAAGAGAGAACTGGAGTGACTCATCCTTCCCAACAGCCTCAAGTGTCAAGTTTGGCAGTTGTTCATGATCAAGTGATGGAAAAAATGGCTAGCCTGATCAAACAGCGGAGGAACTGGCCTGGATGGCCCTGGATGGCTGTAGATATTGATGACTACTGTCCTATGTGTGAGAGGTATATTTTGGTCAAAGCAGGGAAGTGACTTCTCTGGTCAGCAAGAAACATCTAGAGTCCTTGCAATGTAATTTATGGTCATTGGCCTCAGCAATAACACAACGTGTCTGCCTGAGTTTCCTCCAGATGCTCCAGTTTTTTCTCACAGTCCAAAGATGTGCAGGTCAGGTGGATTGGCCACTCGAAATTGCCCTGTAGTGTCCAGGGATATGTAGGCTAGGTGGCTTAGCCATGGTAAATGCAGGGTTAGAGGGATAGAATGGGGGACTGTTGATGTATAGATTTGCCTACAGGGCTTTTCAAACTTCAGCAGTGGCACAGTGGCTCAGTGGTTAGCACTGCTGCCTCACGGCGCCAGGAACTCGGGTTCGATTCCATCCTCAGGTGACTGTATGTCTAGAGTTTGGACATTCTCCCCCTGTCTACGTGGATTTCTGCCAGGTGTTCCAATTTCCTCCTGGAGTCCAAAGATGTGCGGGTTAGGTGGATTGGCCATGAGAAATTGCCCGTTGTCCAGGGGTGTGTGTGTTAGGTGGATTAACCATGGGAATTGCAGGGTTACAGGGAACATAAGAACTAGGAGCCGGAGTAGGCCATCTGGCCCCTCGAGCCTGCCCCGCCATTTAATAAGATCATGGCTGATCTTTTTGAGACACAGCTCCACTTACCACTTCACAGGGCAGGGAATTCCACAGATTCACAACCCTCTGGGTGAAAAAGTTTCTCCTGACCTCAGTCCTACAAAGGGAAGGGTAGGTCTGGGTAGGGTGCTCTTTGGATGGGCGGTATGGACTTGTTGGGCTGATTGGCCTGTTTTCACACAGGAATTCTATGAACTAAGCGCATTCCCATACTCACAGATGTCTTCTCCAACTCCCACTTATGACTGAAAGGCATCATCAAAGCCAGAGTGTTAGTACATCATTGGTTTGTCTGCTTGGGAGTTCTTTGTTGGATTCATGATTTATTGTGGCTCGAGAATAAAACCCTACAGGAATTGCAAGGTCTATGGCATTGCCAAGAACCACACTACCCCTTGTCATCTAGAGGGTAATGGATAGTGTGAAGGATTCAACTGTACTCTACATGACCATCTGTGTACCTTGTCTCCTGAGAGTAAACAAAAGTGCCCTGAATATCTTCCAGTCCTGGTTTATGGTTATAGTATCAATCCATACACATCATTGGCTATTCTCCACACTCTCTCATCTTTGCATGAGACCTGGTCCTTCCCATGGATTATAGCCACAGCTTCCAATGGGCAGATAAATGAGTAGATTTTTGAGCATCATATGAGAAGAAAAACATTGAACAAGTGTAAGTCTCATTTGACTGACCTTCCAGTTCGTGCAAGGATAATCCTCCAAAATTGAAATTTCAGGGATTGGAATAAGATACAGGATGTCTGGGATCCTGAATCCTATTAGGTGGCTGGACAAAGATAGCTACATCTGTGTTGTTGAACTACTAGCTTGAGAGCAGCCTCAGAAAAGAGTTTGCATAGCGAGTTGCTTGAGCCCAGGCGACTGGTGGCTGATGTGGAAGCAGCAGTTCACTGTATGCTGTTGATTTAGGGTTAGGGTTGGGTTGTGGAACCTGAAGCATGATGGCTTGAGTGAAATGGAGTCAGATAGTGATGCAGAATCCTGAAGTAATGCACGAGTTATGAAACTAAGGGGTGCATCCAGCATGGGGAAGCCTACCACCACCCTGGAAAATGGTGCAGGTATGGCCTGCCTGAAGACAGAGAATGAATCAACAACATATTCCAATCATACACCTCCGAGACATCTGGCCAACCTAGACCTCAACATCGGTGACAGTCACGGAGACTGGATCCCTTGGAAAAAGCCAATACAGATGAAAGGCTGAGAAGGTCCTCTCAAGCAAATGCTGGCTATCATCTCATAGTTTACCATTTACCCAGATTGCTGATGCAAGTCAAGAATGTTGGCACTAATGTGGACCCAAACATTATAACCATCATGGCACAATTGTACCTGTGAATTCCACTGTTTCTTAGGAAGTGGTCACTGTGGGCTCTGTGTAGTTGCTGAGATGTCAAGACACATGCAAGTAAGTGTGGAAAGAAACCTCCAGGTGGCAATGGTGAGTGACAATCTCAAGCTGAGTCCAGTTGAATGAACATTTCCTGGAGGAAAGGGTGTCTTTGGGGAATGGAGGCCTCATAGGAAGAAGGATTAGCGAGACAATGGCGTTCCTTCATCAGATGTAGATCATGGGCCTAATTCCTTAACTTTTACTTTAACCTTAAATTTGCTTCATGTTTGTATCCCCTTATGTCAGTGAGTAAGGAATCCTTGCTTTATGACCTTTGAGCTGTCCATGTCTTCAAATCTGCTTTTACAATCAGCAAAGTGATGAAAGGTGTTGGTGTCAGTGCTATCAAACTGTCCTAACTCCACCACAACCTGTGCACTGTCACTCCATTTGTGTTCCACTCAGCTCCTCTCCTTTTATTGAGCCTTGATGCGACTAAAGAGCAGAACTCATGTGTGGAAGTGAGGATGACAGCCCTGGTCATCAAGGTAGCATCAAGGAACCCTAGCAAAACTGGAGTTAATTGGGTGAGGGTTTGAAGTCATATAGAGCACAGAGAAAGATGGTTGTGGTTGTTGGAGGTCAATCATCTCAGCCGCAGGCCATCACAGTACGAATTCTTGAGAGCAGACTCCTGAACCCAACAATCCTGAGTTTCTTCCCCCAAAGCTCTGAGGTAGGAATGTTGGACTGATAAGTGACAAGCAACATTTATGTCATTACAAGTGCCAGACAATGACTATTTCCAATATCCAACTATCACCCCTTGATGTTCAATGGCATTATCATCGCTCAACACCCCATTATCAACATCCTTGGGGTCACCATTCGAAAACTGAGCTGGACCATCTAAATAAAAATCAAAGGAACTGCGGATGCTATAAGTTCTGAGGAAGGGTCACCGGACCCGAAAAGTTAACTCTGTTTTCTCCTCCACAGATGCTGCCAGACCTGCTGAGCTTTTCCAGCAACTTTGTTTTTGGACCATCTAAATAACTGCTGTGGCTCTAAGAGGAAGTTAGAGACTAAGAATTCTGGGGAATCTCACCTACTGTCTCACCAATGCCTGTTCACCATCAACAGGCACAAGTCAGGAAAGTATATCTCAGGAATACTCTCCACTTGCCTGAATGAGTGCAGCCCCAACAACACTCAGGAAAATCAAGATCATGCAAGAAAAAGCAACACACTTGATTGGCACCCACCTAACACCTTTAACATTTACTTGCATGACTACTGATGTGACAGTGGTACCAGGGTATGCCATCTACATACTGCATTCAAAAATTCATCACAACTTAATCAACAGCACCTTCCCAACCTGTGAACTCCACCATCTAGAAGGACAAGGACAGCACATGCGTGGCAACACAACCACATGCAAGTTCCCCTCTAAGCGACACTACTTCTGATGCCATCACTGTTTCTTCACTGTTGTTGTGTCAAAATCCAGGAACTCCCTTCCATTGTGGGTGCACTTAGTCCAATGAACCTAGTGATTCAAGACAGCAGATGACCACCACTTGATCCAGGGCAATTAGGTTTGGGCAATAAAATGCCTACACCCCACGAACAGATTGAAAAAAACAAATTAATGGTTATTAGCAGATCATTGTGGTGGGAAGAATAAACATCACACCACAGATCTGGCTCCTATAACTAATTTGTGGGATTTCTACCTCTTGTCCATTGTTTCTACATTACCCTGGAATTGAATTCTAATTGAATCAGAAATCATCTTTCTGCAGATTTTGCTGGAGCAGTGCACCTTAGTTCCTCCCTTAATAAGTAATCGTTTTCCCTCACTCGCTAGCTGCCCTATATGTTGCTGGAAAAGTGAGGTGATAACCACATAAATAAAATACAAAAAAAATTTAAGGATATTAAAAAAAAGATGATAACTACATGCTGAAGGCAATGAGGCATCTAGAATTAGGAAACAATGTAACTCCTTTAAGAAAGAAACAGGAACAAAGGAGAAATAAGATTGAAATGTGTGGGTAAATTAAAGTCAAGTCAGATATAGAAAGAAAAATAAGATGGTAAAAATTGGATTAAGTGAGAGATAAGAGGCAGAAAAGAAAAGAAAACAAGGATTCAGTAAAAAAAAAACTAGCAGCTGTAAGTTAACCCAATTTTACCTAATCAACGTGTTCAGCAATATTGTTACAGATCTCTGGAGCAGGTGAGACTTGAACCCAAGCCTCTCAGTCAAAGGGTAGGAGCATTACCACTGTGCCACAAAAATGCTAATAACAACTAGGAATGAGACGCCACAATTTAAATTGGGTTGGAGAAAATGATTGCACTTTAGTAACATTAACTTACTTATTAATAATATTTACACTGAATTGTACTTTTGGAATAGAATTTCATAATTATTACCACTTTAGAAACACAAAGACACTATTATTTTTAATTAATATTTATTTATTTCAAGATCTTCGGGGTATAATCTAAAAGAACTGTATTTATAGTTGGCATTTACTTCATATTGAATTATTCATTCTCTTAATTAGCTGATTAATGGTGTGCAATAATATTATTTTGCAGTTATTCCACATTGTGGCATTCAAGGCAAAATTGAGGGAAGACCTACTGGCTGGAATTGACGAGTTCCTTGATGAGGTAACTGTGCTGCCTCCAGGGAAGTGGGATCCCACTTTACGGATAGCACCACCAAAGATACTTCCATCGCCACACAAACGGTAAGTGCCCAGTAAACTGATTTTTTTTCCTCACCACACACAGTGGAATAAATCCACCAATGACCCTGCAAGATTATAACCATTGGACTGTTCCCTAATCTCACAACAGGAAAATAATCCACCTGTTGCCTGAGTTTAGGTTACCAGGAAAGCTACGAAAATGGCCTGAGCTGGTATTTTACCGAAGAATACTTTCTTTCTTAAAGGCATTGCTGTCATCTCTGTATTTCTCTGACAGCAAGTTGAGATCAGTCTCTAAGTAATTTCTTGAAGTCATTCTTTCATTATGCTTCCGACAGAAAGAAGACCAGAGAAGAAGCACTTGGGTAGAATACACGTTTTGAGTGGAATTTAATTGAGGTGACACGAGTGTCACTCCCCGGCTGAGGGCTGGTGAAAGCTCCATGTCACCTTGTGTTGGGAAGGCCCACTTCTGTAAGTGCCAATCAGGTGCTTAGCTGGATAATGGGAAGCCTTCCCTGGGATCAAGGACACTGGGATAGAAAGCCCTCTCCTGATAGCTGGCAGCCAACCTTAGGCAGGCAGCTGTCCAGTGCAGACAGTACGTTGGACCTCGAATGTTGTCAGTTCAAGCCCCATTCCAACCATAGCACAGACACTATGGACTGAATGGCCTCCTTCGGTGCATTAGCAATTAAACGATTCTGAAATAGTCAGTTCAGTGAGAAAGCACTAATTGTGGGAATTCTCTCATACACTGGTTAATATTTATTTCCCTAGTCAACTTGACTAATACAGAAAATATAGTCATTCACGTCACTGCTGTCTGTGGGACCCTGCAACATGCAGTATCACATCTCCTCACAGCCTAACTACAATTATAATTGAAAAGCACTTCATTGACAGTGATAACACAGTGTGGAGCTGGAGGAACACAGCAGGTCAGGCAGCATCATGAAAGTTGACGTTTCGGGACGGGACCCTTCTTCAGAAATCTAATTTCAGAAATCAACCCGAAATGTCAACTTTCCTGCTCCTCTGATGCCTCCTGGCCTGCTGTGTTCCTCTAGCTCAACACTGTGTTATCTCTGACTCCAGTATCTGCAGTTCTGACTATCTCTGACTTCATTGACTGTGAAGTATTTTGGAACATGCTGAGGCTATGAAAATGAATATCTAATGTTTGTTCTTTTCTAACCTTCTCTCTCACATTCTGTCCCACTGATAACAAATTTGGTTGCTTTGTTCATGTTTTTCCTTGTGATACCTGGAGGATATATGCTCATTCAGAATATTTGGCACTTTGGGATCATCCTGATTTGTAAACTAATTTCTAGATGTTATTGATTTCATCTCTCTTCTGTTGATTTCGCAACTGCCGTTCTGCAATAAATTATCCTGATCCTTATGTCATTTTCCTTAACCTCTCTGTTCTTATCAACTATTGTCTTCCTTTTAAACTTTCTTATTCTCTAAAGTTCCTGAAAACATGTCGCTTGCAAACCTGTGCCATCTTTCCTGCAGTTCTTTGTTTAAAACCCCTTTAATTAGGTTTTCATCCATGCGCATTAAGATGACTCATTTCTAAAAATCACAAGTGACATACTATATGACTGTGTGTGTGTCTGTTTGTAGTAAATTATTACTCTTTATGCATCTTGAACTGTGTGCCACCCTTTGACACGGATGGCCACACCATCCTTCTCCAACACCTCTACTCTGTATCTTGCTTGATAGAACTGCTCTCACCAAGTTTGATGCCCATCTATCAAATCATAGCCAAAACAGCTCCTGCAATGGTTTAACTTCCCAGCCTGCACATGAGCTCAGGAGCCCCCAAAGATGTATCATTGGATTGGTAAGCTTTAGGTTCGATTTAAATCTAAACCCCAACATCCATCTGTTTTGATACTTTAACCATTCAGGCAACAGGAGACAGTAGCTCAGGGAACTTTACTTGAGTTATAAAGTAATATTTAATAAAACAGGGCAGTGTATTTACAGGCTCACTACAGTTCTTGTTTTCCAGTTCGGATGAGGGCAAAGGTTGACCCTTGGTCTCCAGACTCTCTCCAATTCCTCTGCCGTCTTCCACTACCCACAGGACAGCAGAGTCTTCTAATTTCACTTTCAAACTTGGTCTACGTGCTTTGGTCACTGAAAGCTGGTTCTTGTCAATTCTTTCTATGCTATAATGCACCGCAGGATCAATAACATTATTTCATTCTGATTGGCCTCGTTGAGGCGAGACTTATTTGTAATTGGCTCAAGTGTGCGTAATCAAGCTGTGCTTGGCTCTGGAGGTTGATGGACATTGGCTGACATCAGCTATTTCCTGATTGGTTCTTTAAGGAGTCACTTATCCATGGTCCCACCCCCTTTTAATTACGATCTGTATTTAATACTTTTTGAGATGTAAGGTTATTTTATGATATTTTCCGTGCTCAATTCTGCATCTATTGATGTGGAATATATAGAGATGTAAAAACTAGAAACAGGAGTATGCCTTTTGGCCCTGTTCCACCAGTCAATATGAAAATGACTGATCTTGTGTCTTAATAACATATTTCTGCTTTTTCTTCATACTCTTTAATACCTTAAGTACCTACAAATTCATCAAATTCTTTCTTGAATATACTCAGTGACGTCATCTCCACAGCCTTCTGTGGTATGAAATTCGCTGGATTAACCATCCCATGAGCGAAGAAGTGTTGCCTTATCTCAGTCCTAAATGGCTTAGCCTGCCTCCAGTGACTCCTGGCTCTAGGCTCCAGAGAAACAACCTCCTTGCATTTAATGTGTCCAACCCTATTAGAATGTCATATGTTTCAATCAGAGCCCCTCTCATTCTTCTAATCTTTTATGAATACGGGCCCAATTGAACCAATCTCTTTTCGTACAACAGTGCTGCTAACTCTGGCATCAGCCTAGTGAACATTCACTATAACCCTATCTATGGCAGGTATATCCTCTCTTTGGTAGGGAGACCAAAACTGCAGGTGTGGTGCAGTGTAATATTGCAGGTGTGGTCTTAGCGAGTCCCTGTGTAACTACAGTAAGTTATCTCAACATCCTCTGAGAATGAAGACCAACATTCTGTTTGCCTTCATCATTGTTTGCCGCACCTGCCTGTTTCATACATTGACTGGTGTTCAAGGACACCTGATCTCTTTTGTATATCCACACTTCCCAATATATAACCATTTAAATAATACTCTGTCTTTCTGTTTTTACATCAGAAATGTATAACATCACATTTATCCACATTATACTGCATCTGCCCACACACTCAACTTATCTAAATCACCTTAACGCCTCCTTGCATTTCCCTCACCACTCTAAATCCCACTCAGTTTTCTGTTGTCAACAAACTTTGAAATAGTGCTTTTGGTCCCCTCATCCAATTAATTCATAGATATTGTGAATATCTTGTTTATATAATTCATAACCTTGTTTTTAAACTTATCCATGGCCTCACCCCTTCAATTCTGTAACTTGCACCAGATTCAGAACGCTCAGGTGATGGCCTAATGGTATTATCACTGAACTGTTAATCCAGAAACTCAGATAATGCTCTGGGGACCCAAGTTTGAATCCTGCCACACAGGTGGTGGAATTTCAATTTAATAAAAATCTGGAATTAAGAGTCTAACAATGACGATGAATCCATTGTTCATTGTTCGGAAAAACCCATTTGGTTCACTAACGTCCTTTATGGAAGGAAATGGCTATCCTTACCTACTCTGGTCTACATGTGACCCCAGACACACAGCAATGTGGTTGACTCTTAAACTGCCCACTAGGCATTTGGAGATGGACAAATAAATACTGGCCTGGCCAGTGATACCCTCACCCTGTAAATGAACAAAAAAGAGCTCTCTCTGCTTCTCAAATTTTGCTTTTTGTGAAGTCTTGATTTTCTTCAATCTCTGGCCATGACTTCAGATACTAATCACCAAAGCTTTGCAATTTTCTCACCAAATCTCTCTGCCTTTTTTTCCTCCTTTAAGGTGTTCCTTAAAGCATACAACTCTTCCTAAACTTCTGGTCTCTTATCCTCGCATCAGATTTTGTTTGACAGTGTTCCTGCGAAGACCCTTGTGACAATTGATGACATTATGGGCATTTTAGAAATGTAAAATTCTGCTTTTTTAAATTTCAAAATATACTTTATTCATAAAAACCATCTTTATATACACACACAGTCACAAATGCAGTTTGGTTTTATGCAGTAGCATTTCAAGGATACAAATAAACATTGGAGTTTGACTCTATCCAACAAACCAAAGGCACTCTTACTTGAGCTAGGCTATATTTACATGCATTTGAGGCACCGGGAGGGTGTGATAACTGAATAGATCTCCATTTAACTTCAGCAGAAAGATATCAGACTGTGGTATTTCTCCACTGTGACTTGATAGCAGCTGTCCCAAGCTTTAGTGCGTCCCTCAGCATGTAGTCCTGGGCCTGGGGGGAATGTGCCAGTCTGTAACACTTGGCCGAGGTCAACTCCTTGTCCTGGAGGACCAGCAAGTTTCGGGCAGACCAAAGAGGGTCTTTCACCAAGTTGAACGTCCTGCAGACGCAGTTGATGTTTGTCTCTGTGTGCAGACTGTAGAGCACAGAGTCTTGTGTCACAGAGCTCCTTGGGATGCACCTTGACAAAAATGAGTGCATCCTTCTCCAGAATTCCTTTGCAAAGGCACATTCCAGATGATGTATGACAGTCTCAACAACTCCACCGACAACCCCCCAGTCCGCAGCCACTTTGAGGGCAGCATGCAGTAGCACAGAGAGTACCAGAATACATGAAGGATCTCACAAGTAGTGCCCTTTTCACCACCACCCAGGTCAATTCTTGTTGCTCACTGGAAAGTTCTGGTGACTTTGACAGTCTGCTCAGGGAACCGTGTGACAGGATCCACCCTCTCCTTTCCCTGCAGGATCTTAAGGATGCTACATGCTGACAGCTTCTTGATGGTCAAAGGTGTTTTTCTTTGAAAATTTCTCCACAAAGGACAGGCGATATGGAACGGTCCATACTTGCAGCATTCAGCAGCAACGAGGCCAGTCCCATCCTTTGCAATTTCAGGGACGAGGAGAACCTCAGTACGTAGTGACACTTGGTGTTTGCGTACCAAAGGTCTGTGCACAGCTTGATGCAGCCATAGACAAAGGTGACCATCAGGATGAGGACGGCATTGGTACATTCTTTCCCCCCCACTTATCCAGAGCTTTGTACATGATGTCCCTGTGGACACAGTCCATCTTAGAACTCCAGATGAAGTGGAAGATGCCTCAGGTGACTGCATTGGCACATTTTCAGGGAATAAACCTGACCTACACCATGTACAACAACAGAGAGAATGCCTTACACACCTGATGACCAAGTTTTTACCCACAGTGGACAGGAGCGGTGTTCCCAAAAAACCAGCTTCTGCCTCACCTTGGCGATGCATTCCTCCCAAAATTTTGCGCACGCCCTGGCCTCTCCAAACCATATTCTCAGCACCTTTAGGCAACCTGTTTTGATGGTAAAGGGCGTAAAGGATTGGTCAACCCAGTTCCCAAAGAATGTGGCCAGATTCTCTCACTTTCCCCATGAAATGCCAAAGTGTCATTCCTCAGTCCACTTTTCTCAACCTATTCACATCATTTTGTTTTTGGCTCCATTTCTCAATCACATTCACTGTTTCTATCTTGTAATGTGTGCTCCATCAGAAGATGTCTTATGTAACAGGTGTTTAATATTAATTTTTTTTTGTTACTGTAGGCCTGGAACAAATTACGAAAATAAATTGTTCTCCATTCACTTTAATGATATAATAGTGTATACAACACATCATCTTCGTACTGTACTAAAATTACATCTTAGTGAAAACATTGTTCCTATTGACATTTTATCTTATAGAAAATCTGTGTATTCTCGCAGTTCTAATGTTCACATGCAGAAAGGAAATCATATCCAGCATGAAGAGAGGTATGGGAGTAATCTGCACGTTGCTGAAGATTTGAAGAGAACAGGAAAGTGAGTATCTACATATCTTTTGGCTTACTTACAACACTGAAGGAAAAGAATGTTTGACATGAAATGTATGTGATGAATACAACCTATAATTGTAAATGCAGGTCAGGCATCTCAGATTGTCATATACTTTATTGAAAGAAAATTTATTCCACTTTATTTATTTACAGCCAATTTCAACTGTTCTGTAATATGCTTTTACTAGTTTTATAGATAAAATACATTTTTGATGAAGAGGAATAAATATTGAAACAAGACAAATATATCAAACCTATCAGCCATGTGGTTCACTAATATGCTTTTAAGGAGGGAATCTGCCATCCTTACCTGGTCTGGCCCACATGTGACTCCAGACTCACAGCAATGTGGTTTACTCTTATCTACTATCATTAATGGTCTAGCAAACCACTCAGTTGTATCCAAACTGCTAAAAGGTCTTGACAAAGGAATGAAACCAGCCATCTTCATCTTGGGCCAAGTGCCAAAACTGGGAGAACTGTCTCAAGACAAGTAAAGCAACAACTTGACACACTGTCCCAGAAAACACCATGACCATTCCAGACTGTGTTCTGTCCTACAAACCCAGCAGAGGCAGTAGCACAGTGTTATACGGTCAGCAGGGAATTTCCTTGGGAATGTTCAAACACTAACTCAGGACCTCATGAAGTTTCATGGCTTCAGGTTAAATATGGGCAGGGAAATCTCCCATGATTACCATGTACCACAATGTGCCCCCACCCCCAGCTGATGTATCAGTCCTTCTGCATTGTGAACAACACTTGGAGGAAGCACTCAGGGTTGAAAGGGAGTCAAATGTACTCTGGGTGGGGGATTTCAATGTTGACCACCAAAATTGGCTTGGTAGCAGCACTACTGTGAGCTGTTTGGGACTTAAAGGATATAATTGCTAGACTGGGCCTGTGACAGCTGGTGAGGGAACCAACAAAAGGGAAAAACATATTTGACCCCATTCTTACCAATCTGCCGGCCGCAGATGCATCTGTCCATGACAGGAAGAGTCCATGATTGGTAACAATGACCACTGCTGAATCCTTGGGAAGACGAAGTCACGCCTTCACATCGAGAATACCCTCTATCAGATGTGTGACATTATCACTGTACTTTGTTTATTTTATTCAGTCACAGGATGTGGCCATTGCTGGCCAGGCCAACATTTATTGCCAATTCCTAACTGCCAGAAGGCAGTTCAGAATCAGCCACGTTTACTGTGGATCTGAAGTCACATGTTGGCCAGGTAAGGATGGTAGTTTACTTCCTTAAAGGATGAACCAGATGGATTTTTCCAACAATTGAGAACAGTTTCACAGTCATCATCAGGCCCTTGATTTCACATTTATGAGTTCAAGTTCCACCATCCAATATTTCCTATTGCCATAGTAGGATTTAAACCTGGGTCCCCAGAACATTACCTGAGATTAATAGTCTAGCAATAATAACATTAGGCCATCACCTCTTCATAAATGGGATGGGCTTTTGACTATCTGGCAACTGAAGACTGGGCACCCATTAGGTGCTCTGTGCCAACAACAACAACAGAATTGTACCCCAACACTATCTGCAACCTCATGGCCCAGCATGTCCCTCTCTCAACTATTCCCATCAAGCCAAAAGATCCACCTTGGTTCAATGAAGAGTGCAGGAGGGTATGCCAGGAGCAGCACCAAGCATACCTGAAAATGAGGTGTCAACTTGGTGAAGCTACAACACAGGACTACTGACACAGTAAACAGCATTCGCAGCAAGTGACAGAAAGATCTAAGTGATTCCATAACTAATGGATCAGATCTAAGCTCTGCAGTCCAGCAATATCATATTGTGAACGATGGTGGATAATTAAACAACTCTCTGGAGGAGGAGGTTCCACAAATTCCCCACCCTCCCTAATGGAGGAGCCCAATACATCAATGTAAAAGACAATGCTGAAGCATTTGTAATAATCTTCAGCCAGAAGTGCCAAATGGATGACTCATTTTGCCCTCCTCTGTATGTGCCATGCATTGCTGATGCCAGTCTTCAACCAATTCAATTCATGCCAATATGATATCAATAAATTGTTGAAGGCAGAGGATACTGCAAAGGTTGTGGGCCCAGACAACCCCCCCTAGACAAGCTGTTCCAGTATAGTTACAACACTGGCATCTACCCAGAGGTTAGTCATCTCAGCTCCAAGACGTCTCCATAGGAGTTCCTCAGACAGTGTCCTAGGTCCAACCATCTTCAGCTACTTCATCAATGACCTTCTTAACATCATAAGATCAGAAGTGGATATGTTCATGGATGATTTCACAATGTTCAGCACCATTCATGACTCCTCAGACACTGAAGCAATCTGTGTTCAAATGCAACAAGACCTAGATGGACAAGTGGTAAGTAACATCTGTGTGACATAAGAGTCAGGCAATGACTGCTTCCAACAAGAGAGAATCTAACCATTGCCCCTTGACATTCAATGGCAATAATATGACTGAATCCCCCAGAATCAACATTCTGGGAGGTACCATTGATCAGGAACTGAAGTGGACTTGTCACATAAATACAGTGGCTACAAGAGCAGATCAGAACCTATGAATCCAGCAGCGAGTAAGTCTGCTTATGACTACCCAAATCTTGTCCACCATATACAAGACACAAGTCAGGATTGTGATGGAACACTCCCCACTTGACTGGATGAGATGGGTGAATACAGCCCCAACAATGCTCAAAAAAATTTGACACCATCCAGCACAAAGCAGCACACTTGATTGGCACCATATCCAGAAGCATCCACTCCACCATTGGCACTTAGCAGCAGCAGTGTGTACTATCTACAAGATGCACTGCAGCAATTCACCAAGTCTCCTTAGACAGCACTTTCTAGGCCCATGATTACTACCATCCAGAAGAACAAGCACAACAGATATGTGTGAACACCATTGCCTGCAAGTTCCCTTCCAAGCCACTTGCCATTCTGATGCTGAAATATATGGCCATTTCTTCAATGTCACTGAGTCAAAATCCTGGAATTCCATCTGTGATAGAATTGTGGGTGCACCTACACCTACTGGACTGTAGCAATTTAAGAAGTCAGCTCACCACCACGTTTCCAAGTGTAACTTGGAATGGGCAATAAATGCTAGACCAGCTAGTGACATCCACATCCCCTGGATGAATTAGAAAAAACATTTTCTAGTTGAGAATCACGTCAGAGTTTGAAGCTGAGAATCTTGCTCAGCATCAAATAGAACAGTGCAGTTACCAAATGATTCAACTTAAACACAAGAGCAGAAAATGATTTTGATAATGTAAACCATTAAAATCTGTTTTACAATAAAAAGATTTTTAATCTTATCTCCAGGTTATTTGGGGGATTGGTTAATGACATCAAAAGAAAAGCACCTTGGTTTGCCAGTGACTTTTACGATGCTCTGAACCTCCAGTGTCTGTCAGCTGTGCTGTTTATCTATTTGGCCAGTGTAACAAATGCAATTACATTTGGAGGAATCTTGGGTGATGCAACTGACAACATGCAGGTTTGTACGCTGATTGGTTGGATGTTATTTATTTTGGGAGTGTAATGTTGCAATTTTCATTTAGAATATAAGTGCACAGTGCCTGCACTATAAAAGACTTCTTTAGTCACAGTAATTACACATTAGAATGCTCTTTATCCTAATTGGATAGTCAGCTAACCAAAAGTCAAAACAATGACACTGCTTTTATGTGAATATTTTTATAGCTCTGTTTTATATTACAATATTAATAAGTTACCTTCACATTTGTGTTCCTTTTTTTCTTGTTATTTTCTACCTTTCTGTTTCTTTGTTCTCCACTTTGTTTCTCTTCTAGTCTTTTGCTTCTTTATTGCTTGCTTTTCTTTTTCTGCTGTGTTGTTATTGACCAAAAGAAATCACTTTATAGTCAGCACTTTTTGTCTGTATGCATGTATTCTAGGGAGTCCTAGAAAGCTTCCTTGGAACTGCTATTGCTGGAACAGTATTTTGTCTCTTTGCTGGCCAACCATTAACAGTTCTTGGCAGCACTGGCCCTGTGTTGGTATTTGAGCGACTCCTCTACAATATTAGCAGGTATAGTAACTGTGATTGAATGTTACTTGAGTTTTGGCATAAGGTTTCATTCTGGAGTGTTTTCTTTTGTGAAATGCCAACTGGTTTCCTAGTCCTGACTGAGAAAATATCACAACAATGACTGCAAAGTATTCAATAGTCATATTTTTCTGGGCATATTAGCTCTTTAGCTGATGTAAGAGAGTGAAGTTGGCGTAGAAACTGTAGCAGAATATTTTTCTCCAAATCTTGCTCTCTCTTGTATGAAATGGCCGTCAAATGAGCCCACGATGAGAACTAGATGTCTGGTCATCTGTTTCTGTTGATACATTCCCAGAGCAGTTTATATTAAATGCTGATCTCCAAGACTTCCAACTGCATGACTTCAGCTGGGTTTTATTGGACAAGTTGAAATGAAGTATTTACTTTGCATGATTGACTCCCTTATATGGTTATAAAATGTTCTTCTTCCTGTGATCGGTTTTGTAATAGTGTTAATTTTAGTTATGATTAAGATGTGTGAAGTTGTTAAAGCTTCTATTACTGATACTATAATGGTTCTGTCTGATTCATACTTTTATAGGGTTATATAAAGCAGGTTTCTGAAAGCTTGTCTTTTTCTCAGCATCTCAAAATTTGCCATTACTTATTAATTCTGCCATTGTTTCTGTGCGTAGTTCATGAGGGTAGATGAGCATGGTGGTGGCCTGGAAGCATGGAGATCATGGAAAAGAATTGAGTGAACCATGGACCACTAAAAAGCTACTGCAATGCATGCCACATGAAAATTGCGGGGTCTATGAGTTACTTAACTCAGCAATGGAGTTAGCCAGGTTGGGTTGTATGGTTGCTTATCCCCCATGCTGGTAAAAACAGCTGTCATTGGAAATTCTAGTGGGTATCCCTGATTCTGCATCCCCACCCCCACCATATCTAATTGACACTGGAGTGAGTCTGATTTCACAAGAAGAGATAGTAAGGACTGCTGATGCTGGAGTCTGAGATAACACAGTGTGGAGCTGGAGGAACACAGCAGGCCAGGCAGGATCAGGGGAGCAGGAAAGCTGACGTTTCAGGTTGGGACTCTTCTTCAGAAAATGATACTCAAAACGTCAGCTTTCCTGCTCCCCTGATGTTGCCTGGCCTGCTGTATTCCTCCAGCTCCACACTATGACTTCATAAGAATCTATTCAGGAGACACTGGGAGGGTAACCTCAGCTACAGGAGAATGCCTGTCACGGGTTCCCAAGCAATGGACGAGAGGGAAATATCTCCATTGTTTCCACAGTATGAATTATCTTCCTTTTGAAGGTATTTCCTATTGTCCTCAAGCTGCTAATTAATCAATTCAGTAGAGGTTGATGTCCAATCGATATTCTCGTCTGGTTGCAGATCGGGGCTTACGTTGATGCCAATGTTAGTAACCTGACCCAAAATTATAATCTTGGTTGGAAATCAAACATGGGATCTTGTTGATCAGAAAGACAAGGCCATGTTTTGCTTCAGCCAATTGAACCACATTCTAGTTCTTTAGAGTTTTCCAAAGTACAGAGGAATTCTTTTAATAGGAATTATTTTTCTTTTGAACATTTGTGAACATTGATTTGTTGTTTTCCCACTCAACAGGAAATAAACATCTGTCTAGAACTGATATGGTCAGGAATCACATGACACCAGGTTATAGTCCAACAGGTTTATTTGAAATCACAAGCTTTCGGAGCCTCATTCCTTCTTCAGGTGTTAGTGAGAGAGATAGTATTAGACACAGAATTTATAAGTAAAAGATCAAAGGGTCACACCATTGCTGAGGATGTACTAAACAAATCTAAAGTGCTGTTAAACCTTTAATCAGTTAGAAGGTTTTAATTGACTAATATGTATGTGTAAATCTCCAAATTCCTTTCAAGTCCTTGAGAACTAAAGGTTTTATCAGTGTAAAGAAGAGGTGACAATTTAGGTCAGAAAATGCACGTTAGGTGTGAGACCTTGTTTAGAAACTGTTTGTGTTTTGGTTTGGAGTCAGACTGGTTTTATTTCTAAAGTAGGAATTTATAAAACACCATATTGACTGACTGTCTATAAATTGTGTGCTTTTTGAACAAAATAAAATGTGTCTGCAAATACAAATTCACCCCATAGATTCACATGTGTGTGTGTGGTGTGTTTGTGCGAGTGAGTGTGTGTGTATGTATGCGTATGTGAGAGTGCAGAGTGTGGTGGGTCACCTGTAGGGCGATATAAACCCAAGATCCCAGTTGAAGCCATTCTCATGGGTACCCAACTTGGCTATCAGCCTCTGTTCGGCGACTCTGTTGTTGTCTATCCTGAAGTCCACCTTGGAGGACATTTACCCAAAGATCCGAGGCCGGTAAAGGACATTTGGCCAAGGACCCAAGAGGACGGTCTCAACTGTGATCTTGGGTTTATGTCGCCCTACAGGTGACCCCACCAGACTATACTCTCACATACGCATACATGCGCACACACACTCACCCACACACACACACATATACACAGACAGACAGACACACACACACACATACACATACGCTCTCTCCCCCCTCACACACACAGTCTCTCTACGCCCCCCCACACACACACAAACGCACACACACTCTCTCCCCACTCACACACATACACAGTCTCTCTACCCCCCCCCACACATACACGCATGCAAACACATGCACGCGCACACGCTCTCTCTCTCCCCCCAACACACACACAGTCTCTCTATCCCCCAACACACACACAAACACACACACTCTCTCTCTCCTCCCCAAACACACACACTCACACTCTCTCTCTCTCTCTTTCTGTCTTGCTCTCCTCCCCTCACATACACACTCCGAAACCTTGAGTAGTCATGTTCCTAAAATTGGCTCGTTGTATTGGTTGGTCTCCGATTACCTCCAACAGGATATTTTACCTCATATGCCACTACTTACATTATCTCCTGTAACATAAGAAACTGGGCACGTATTTTGTAGTATTGAAGAATCAGACAGATGTTGATGAGATCATAAGATAAGCAATTGCAAATCATTGCCCATTATACATACCACCCTTTTTTCAAAATAGATGAAAAGAAGTGTTGGGGGTTAGAAGGTACAGCCTTTTTTAAATGTCATCCCATTGGTGCTTTTGTTATGGTCTCACGACCAGAGAAGCTCTCCACATGTAAGCAAGGTATTTTGGTTTACTTCAGTATTGTTCGGGCAGGTCTGGCAGCATCTGTGGAGAGAGAAACCAAGTGAATGTTTTGATTCCAATATGACTCTTCTTCAGAGCTCTGTGAATATTGGAGCCTGTATGATTTTCACTGCTGATTTCAATTACATCCTGCTGGCTAGTTGCCTGAACAAAATGTGTACAGAGTTTGCTGGAAAGTTACCAAAGAATAATATGAATGCTCTGGGGACAGGGGGTCAAATCCCACCATGGCAGTTGGTGGAACTTAAATTCAATTGTTTAAAAAATTCTGCAATATTGTTAGTTTTATGGTGACCATGACAACTTTATTTGTTGTAAACACTCATCTGGTTTTTCCTTCAGGGAAGAAAATCTGTCATCCTTGCCTGATTTGGCCTACATGTGACTCCAGACCCACAGTAATATGGGTGGCGCTTAATTTTTGTGTAATGTCTCCCGGCCAGTATGCAGTATACCTTTTAAGAGACATGCATATATGATATCATCATATCAAAATTGTATCACTGCATGTCATCTAAGGGTATTAAGTTCCTAGACTCCACCTTAACTGGGGTCACTTGAGGAATGATACCTCAGTGAAAATATGTCATGCTTTGAGATCAAATCGTTTATTATTAGCCCAGACACTGAAGTGCTCTTCACTGTAACATTAGTAAATATCAGGAGCTGTAATGAATGTCTATCGACTCTTTCAATACCATGTTACCCATGTTTAGTTCTTGTGTTACAGGAGGCACCCTATGCATTGCTGTATTTGGTATTAATACCCTGCTGGAGCCAAAGTCCACTCTATGGTGGCAGTTCATTAACTGCTATCTGAAATGGCCTAGGAAACCATTCAGTTCAAAAGTACTTAGTGATGAGAACCACTGCTGGCCTTGCCAACGATGTCCACATCCCAGAGAAGAATAATACAAAAGGACCTTCTGTTCTGTGTGGTTTCACTTTCCATGTTGTCTAGAAAGATACTATACTTGGAAATGTAGCTTGTTCTTGAATTTTTCCTCTAGGTAAAAAGTCAGATGAAATTTAAGTAAATTCACAATCCAAAACATTTCTGAGTGATTTCACTATTAGTTGTGTAAATTCTGGTATATGGTTTGTGTCTTTATACCTGTATTTGTCCAGTGACTTTACATTAATTTCTATAAACTTCAAAGCTGACCAACCCTAATTAGAGCTGTCTAAAGTTATAACGATGGAAAGATTTCACATTTTATTCATTGCTTAATCAGTATCCACTCTTTATTTTCTAAATATAAATTCACAGTGACTATCAACTTGACTATTTGGAATTCCGACTGTGGATTGGAATATGGACAGCATTCTTTTGTCTCGTTCTGGTTGCCACAGATGCCAGCTACCTAATTCAATATTTTACACGTTTCACTGAGGAAGGTTTCTGCACACTGATCAGCTTCATTTTCATCCATGATGCTTTTCAGAAAATGTTTAATTTGGCAAAGAATTATCCAATCAATTCTGATTTTAACATCGACCATGTTACTCTTGATCATTGCTTGTGTCTTCCCATTGAAGCAGGTAAGATTCTCCTGCTAGAAAGATCTTTGATTCCACAATTTTAAACAAATCATTGAAAGAAGATTTAGATAATTCATCACATTCATTTCTTTCTTTTAGAAAATGTTTCCAGTCTGTTTAATGAAACAACTGAGGCACACTTTAAACTCATCACTGCCATCTATAATACAACAGTGAGTTTTGACTCTAAGTAAATGTTTGTCTTGTGCTGAAATTAATTCTTACTTGAATTTTCTCCTTTATTTTCCTGATGCACAGCAACCCTTCCAAGGGGTAGTAAGAACTGCTGATGCTGGAGCCAGAGATAGCACAGTGTGGAGCTGGAGGGCCACAGCAGGCCAGGCAGCATTAGAGGAGCAGGAATGTTGATGTTTCAGGTCGGGACCCTTCTTTCTGGCCTGCTGTGCTCCTCCAGCTCCACACTGTGTTAGCCCTTCCAAGGCCTGATTTCACATGTGAGCCTTGGTTGCATGGAAAGAGCCTTGGAGACAGGTTTCAGATGGTGAGTGTGAAATCATCCTCACCAATGGACAGTATCTACTGGAAACCTGTGTGGTTTTCACTGTGACCTGATTAACATCCTGCTGGCCAGTTACTTGCACAACATGGGTACAAATAAGCTGCTGAAAACTAAACAAAGAGCTGCTAGACTGGTAATGGCACTCAGTAAAGTTATGATGGAGGTTTTGTCATGATCTCTTGAAAAGCTAAAAGGAAGAGACCTGGAGAGCAGGGCCCTTGATGTTCCAGGTGGCGCTTGAAGAATTCTTGTCTTCTGCACCCTGTATGATTTCCTGTTTAAGCCCATGCACCTCTCCACCCCAATTCATCCCAAGAGAATAGCGGCAGTTTGCAATAAGTGTCCAAGTTACTAGGTAATTAAAATGGCAATTGAGTGCTGATTAGGTCATAGAAAGATGATTTCCATAATTAACCAGGCTCCCAACTACAACAGATTCCAGTTAAATTAGCAGTCTGCAGGAATGGAGCCTGAGCAAATGGTAAGGTTCTGACTGTTGGGTTGGTTTGCCCTGGCTGCTCGCCAAAAGGCAGCAACATATCTCGGTCTGAAAGTGCTCTGACCAGGTGTCCATACGTGCACAAGTCTCATTGGACATCACTGAACAAAAATCAGAAGCATCACTTTCCTCCCTTATTCCATTGGCATTGAAAACATTTCCACATCACTAAAGTAGCTACAAACAAGATTGTAGTGAGATCAGTACTGACCCCAAATAAAGTCTCGGACTATCGGCTCGGGGACCGCTTTGCAGAACACCTACGCTCGGTTCGCAATAAACAACTGCACCTCCCAGTCGCGAACCATTTCAACTCCCCCTCCCATTCCTCAGACAACATGTCCATCCTGGGCCTCCTGCAGTGCCACAACGATGCCACCCGAAGGTTGCAGGAACAGCAACTCATATTCCGCTTGGGAACCCTGCAGCCCAATGGTATCAATGTGGATTTCACAAGTTTCAAAATCTCCCCTCCCCCTACCGCATCCCAAAACCAGTCCAGCTCGTCCCTGCCTCCCTAACCTGTTCTTCCTCCCACCTATCCCCTCCTCCCACCTCAAGCCGCACTAACCTCATCCCACCCCCTTGACCTGTCCGTCCTCCCTGGACTGACCTATCCCCTCCCTAACTCCCCACCAACACTCACCTTTACTGGCTCCATCCCCACCTCTTCGACCTGTTTGTTTCCTCTCCACCTATCCTCTCCTCTATCCATCTTCTATCTGCCTCCCACTCTCTCCCTATTTATTTCAGAACCCCCTTCCCCTCCCCCTTTTCTGATGAAGGGTCAAGGCCCGACCTCTCTGCTCCTATGATGCTGCTTGACCTGCTGTGTTCATCCAGCCCTGCACCTTGTTGTCTCGGATTCACCAGCATCTGCAGTTCCTACTATCTCGGACTATCTGTTTGTTTTACACTGGATGGCGCATTTACTTATTAAGCCTTAAGCAGAACTCCATTTGCGGTGTTTTTGAGAGATTTGTCACATGACCAATTCAGTGTAATGTTATGGTTTCCAACATCTTTTAAGTTGAAATATATCATGTGCAATTTCTCCTGATTTTTATGTGTAATTTTGTAATACAGGATTTTTTGAAAATAAGATCTCTAACTTTATGCCTTGCAAATGATTGTATATTTATTAAATATCTGTAAGAGGTTATAATAATCTTATTTAACTGCTTGTTTCATTTCAGCCCAATGCAGAATCTGTCAACTGGTCTTCACTTACAAAGAAAGACTGTTTGAAGCTTGGAGGACAGCTTGTGGGCAAAACCTGTGATTATATTCCAGACATTACACTCATTTCCTTTATTCTTTTCTTTGGTACATTTGTTTGTTCCATGTCGCTGAAGAACTTTAAAACAAGCAGATACTTCCCATTTGCAGTAAGCATAATATTTTAAACTTTTTTTATAGCTGGCTTTCTCAAAACAGCAAGTAATCACAAGGAGATAGCAAGAACTGCAGTAATCACAAGCTTAGTTTTCAATGCCCTTTAATTTCTAAGTGAGCCTTGTTGAGAACCAGTTTAAAATGAGGCAACATTGTTGAGCTCTGCAAAACATGATATTGTCAAATAATTGACAATTATATTTCAACTTCTGTTATTTGAGATGAGGTGAGAGCCAATAGCCCAATGAATGATCTATTGGACCTGATTTAAAAGCCACTGCCGAGAACACGCATTCTAGACGTTGTTGAAAGCAACATGTCTCCAGGCAGCTCTGAAAGCTAAAAATACCAAAACATCAGTCACTTGACTGTCACAAAACTAATATTAGCAATGAAGACTCAAAGATTGTGGGTAGTGGTGTTCATGTTTCACCAAGGGCAGTCAGTTGTCAGACAGAAAACAAAACTTATCTTGGTTTTAAACAGGATAAAGGGGATGAGGCAGACTGGGTACCGTGTGTGCCAATGCTTGAAGACGTCAGTGTGTACTCAGGGAGTCTGAGGCATGTGGACCTGGCTGATCTTCATTTACATAAAAGTTTCCAGCATTCTGCCTCATCCAGATCCAAAATCTGACCTGCAAGTAAGAAAGGGAATTTGGCAGCAATAGGATGTAACCATGAGAACTATTTGTGGGTGTCACTGGAGGGGGCATTCCTGAAGAGGATCATGAGCAAGACAGGGAAACACTCCATCTCTTGATATATAAGGATAACCGAAATAAAATTTTACAATCTATCTGTTAAAATTTTAAAATAAATTGAGGTAAAATTTTAAAAGCTTACCAATGGAAAGGTGACTAGATCAGAAAAAGTAAATCACTGGATTCATCTGCTGCCATTCTCTCTCGTACTCCCCAGTTTCTATCAGGCAATGCTAAACTAAAATTCCTTGCATGACACATGTCCCAACACTTGGAAGTGAACTCCACAGTCTGCAAATACCTCGTATAAAATATTTTCTCCTGTCCTCTTCTTGTACATTTCTTGCATTTAATTTTGTTCCCCTGAGTTTTGATGTTGAGTATCAGCAGAGTTTGGTAGTTATGCTCATTTGACAGCTACACCGGCTCACATCCAGCAGGGGTCACTGTAGGGTGACCTGGAGAAAGAACTGTAGATATGTTCCTTTAAATGTAATTGCAGCATTGCTATCACTTACCTGGCTGAGCTCAGCGTTCTGACATTAACAGATTAGCTGCAGGCGTGCTCAGTAACGCAAGAGATTACACCTGGAACAGGTGTCCTCGGTGAATGAAAAGGCATAACCTCTAACCGTTGTTTCTATTTTTTGCCCAGTAGCCAGACAGATTGACAGGCTGACCAGCTGCTGGATGGGAAAACTCCGGGCAGGAAGCCACAGCCTGCCCCCTTGGAAACGGATCTCATCAATAGTAGGGCAGGCGTTAGATCATGGTTGGAGGTGGCGTAGATGACATTGTGGTGGGAGGTGGGAGAGATTGTATCAAATCACAGGATAGGTTACAGATCAGGGGAGGAATGGTGAGGTAGAGATCTGTGATTACAGTAGAGCAGTTCTGATTGGTGGATGTGATGCTAAAAGCTGCTCCAGTGGTTTGGAGAGAGCATTCCTGTTCCTTCTGGATACATGGAGTGCTGTAAAAAAAAATGCCTTCTCAGAACAGTTTATCTTGCTGCCTGGTTCCTCAAATTTCCAGTAACCTGCTTGAAAGCACTTTTAAATCTGACTCATAATTACACTGTCTAAGCCTGACTTAAATATTATAATGAAGTGTCCAGGTTCCCTGAGATAAAAGCCTTGTACACCTCATTACACACCGTAAAAATGGCAGGGTATCTGTATAGGGTAGGTTGAGGATGTTTTCCCTTTACTTTAGTGTTTAGCATCCCCGAGACACCTATAATGGGAAGATAGAGTTTAATACCAAATTAACTGATGAAAGCCTACACATGAACATATGAACTAGGACCACATGTAGGCCATTCAGCCCATTCAATATGATCATGACTGATCTGTTGGTAACCTTCAATCCGCATTCCCGCGTATCCCTAATAAGCTTTCAACCCCTTACTAAAAAAAATCTACTCACTTCTGCCTTAAAAATATTCAATACCCATCACCTTTTAAGGAAGAGTTCCAAAGTTTTATGACCTTCTGAGGCAAAACATTTCACCTCATCTTCTTTTTTATTTAGATGACCCCTGATTTTTGAACAGTGACCCAGTTCTAGATTCTTCCAGAAGGGAAAACATTCTCTCCATATCCAACCTGTTAAGACCCTTTGGGATCTTCTGTTTCAGTGAAGTCACCTCTTACTCTTTTTAACTCCATTGGTGCAGCAGAGCCTATTCTTCCCTTTGTAAGACAACCACCACTTTCCAAGTATTAGACTTAAAAAAAACTTTCTCTGAACTGCCTCTGTTGCATTTACATCCTTCATTAAATAAGGTAGCAAATACTAGGTATGGTATTCCAGATGAGGTCTTAGGAGTCCCTGTATACCTGAAGCATAATCTCATACGTTTATATGCAATCCACTCATGATAAATGATAATATTTTATTAGCTTTCCTAATTACTTGCTGTACTTACATACTAATATTTTGCAACTTAAGCACAAAGACACCCAGATTCCTCTGCATCTCAGAGCGCTGCAATTTCTCACCATTTAGATAAAATGCTTTTTCTAAATTCTTCCGGCCAAAAGGACAATTTCACATTTTTCTACATTATAGTCTATTTCCATATCTTTGCCCATTCACTTAAGCTATCTGTATCTTTTTGTAGCTTCCTTATATCCACTTCATAATTTACTTTCCTACTTATCTTTGTGTCATCTTTGAATTTTGCAAGCACACCTTCCTGGTCTGTATGACCGTGATATTGGAAACTAAGTTTAATTCATATCTTCAATGTATATTCAAGATGGCAGCGGAGTGGAAGGGCTGTGTGTGGGCTCTTGGCCCAGGGCTCATCTGCTCCTGAATACTTTCTTTCATTTTTTTTTCTCTTTACATCTGCCCTTTTCTTTCATTTTTATTCCTTTTCACTTCTGCTCTGTCATTTTTTTCTAACATTTTTATTTTCTTTTTACTTCTGCTCTTCTCTTTCTTTTTTTCTTTCGTTTTTGTTTTTGTTGGATCCTTTTGCAAAGTGTTTGATCGCAAATCTCATGTGACAGCTGGAGCAGGCAGTGCGCAGATGATGGTCTGTCCTGACCGTCAGAGGCGGCAGTGGACATGGCTCCCGATGGCAGCAGCGGGGTATGTTCTCCTGGTGTTAGGGGCTGGCAGCGGCAATAAAGCTCCTCCAGTGATTGGAGGTGGCAGCAGTGACAGCGGACATTTCAAGATGGTGGTGCCAGCAAGGTGACCTCTTGTAGGAGGATGGCCAGAGTGGGACTCTTGGCAAGACGGTAGCGGCCTGGTCTGGCAGCGGAGCCAGGGACTCCTGATTGCAGTAGGCCCAGAGTGGGGACTCCTGGTTGTGGGGTGAGTGTGGATTCAGCACAGGACCCGGCATCGGTGGCTGCTTCGGTGAGGTGGCCCCAGTGGCGAAGAGATGGCACCTGAAGAGCAGTGACTCCTATGTTGGTGGGTCTGGCATAGTATTCAGCGAGGTGGTGGAGGAGGGGCCTTGGTGCACTGGCTCAGGACTGTCCTTCAGCTATAACTTTTATCCCTTTTATTCTTAAACTAATCAAAATGGCACCGGATTGTGGTGACTGTTGAAGCTTTTCACTGTATTTTACCGTGTTATTCACTGTAAAATGCAAGTGACAATAAATAAATCATCATGACAATAAATAAATAATCATATTGCTGTAAAATTTAAATGTTTGGATTTTGGTGATTCTCAGTTGGCAACCCACCCTTGCGGGAGATTAATTGTGTGAGATGTGCCAAACTTCCCTAGGAGTTGAGTGAGAAGAGAGGAAAATCACCCTGTATTCACATTTCTGATCACTATTCATCAGCTATCATAAACCAGTGTGTGTGATTGACAGAATAGAATTGCTCTGAACTCATTGCGTGCCTTCTGCTGCTAGGACTCCCCTTTTCTATGATACTGTTTTCTCTGGTTAGCATTGACATAATGTTAAGATGATATTGAAAGAAGAACTAAACTTGTGACTGGTCCAGGAAAATAAAAAGAGGGGAAAGCCTACCTTTGTACCTCAGCAATGGCAGATACACAGCAGAGATTTGTGTTGCCATGGTGTTGGCCATATTTTATATTTCCCTCAACGGAGCATTGAAATTATTTATGAGTGCAAATTAGTTTTGCTGTGGTCGGACACAGAAATCAGAATGAAGTAATCGTGCAGAATCGAGTGTAGCAACAATATGGGATAAATTATCCTCAAAATTGGGACAGAGCTTTTGTTGACTCTACGACTGTTCAATTCCCATGTTGAAAATAGTTCTCACTTTTGTCTCAGATTGGAATGATCACGAGATAAACATTGGATGGAGAGGGCATTCAACCTACATGAGCTCATTGTTCCAAGAAAAAAAACTTGACTTCCCATTAGGGCATCAAACTGTCTCTTAAATAATTCCAAACTTTTTGCTTCTAATCCTGTACCCAGAGCCCGTACTGTGTTCTAAACACTGTTTACATCAAGATGAAATTCTAGGCATTATTTTTAAATCTGTCTTTTATCAGCTTTGAAATTGCATACCCTTGTCCATAAATATTCTTTATATATCATTAATCATAACAGGTTCACAAATTCACTCATACCAGTGTCCATTTAAAAATGGTACTGTTGCTTTAATTGCAGGTTATGCTCGCTTAAAGTTTATTTTTAATTTTATAGACAAATTAGTATTATCACATTGTAGGATTGAGATTATTTTTCAATAATTAGTTACAGTTTGGTATGTGCAAGCAAGCAGATTGTTAAATTTCATATTTTGTTGAGCTATGGTCAGTGCAATACGATATGGCCTTTGGCTGTAGCTTGCATATCTGTGAGAGAGCGGCCCTATAGACTTCTGTGACTACGGCAATTTTAACTTTATTTTAACATCACCTTAGGTCAAAATAAACAAATAAATAAAAAGGTAGACTTTTGTGACAGAACAAATGTTCATGAAGATGTTTTGAAGTGAAACAACTTTAATTTGAAAATGGCTTAGTTATTTTAACTTAAAATTGTAACTTTCTTCTTAAAGCACCCAATGTAAGAGACAGGCCTGGATATTTTATATATTTACAATGAAATGAAGTTCTGTAATTCGTTCTAGTTCTACATGATGATTTCTTAAGATAACTTTGACTCTACAGATATTGTGCAATGAGAACGTTTAATTCTTGAGAATATAACTCCTACATCTTAGGAAAACAAAAATGTGACTTATAAGTTAACTTGTTCCAGTCAGCAGCAATTACTGTGAAGTAATACATAAGCAAAGAGTTATTTTTAACTAAAACATATTGGTAAGCTTTGAACATTTAGCAGTATCAACCCGACGACAAATCCTTTAAGCATACACAAATTACTTCCATAGTGCCTTTTCATCTTCAGTGAGGAGCTGTACAGATAGTAACCTAACAAGGAAAAGCTCTAATGAAAGGATTCATCCCGAAAATGACTGACATCTTTGGGAACCAGTCAGGAGATGGTAGGAACTGATATCAGTAAGATGACTATTACTTTTAAGCAAACAAACATAAATTGAGCAGGCTACCTAGCCAATCTGAGACTGATTGTGTGCTATTCCGACATTGGTAAGCATGTTAAAGGTCAGGAATGTTATTGTTAATGTACATGGCTAGTAGCTAGAACGGGTTAAGAAGCAGAACCTCCATTGCACAGCAGTGAGAAGTTAGAATAACTTCAGTCAACAGATTAGAACAGGAAACATGTACCCAATTAGTCAGAATTTGTAAGCTGGTGTCCAACATGGACCAACTGATTCCTTGCCCATTGCACATTACTCTTTTGAGACAAACATAATACATTCTGTGAAACCTGTGAAAGCACACTTGATCCCAGAGTGATCTTGTAACTAATCACGACTGGAATACTTTTAGATTGGCTCTCTCAATTCATTCCATAATTGTAGTTGACTCAAGTTTTACAATTAAAGTCAAGTTGAACACATCAATTTTTGCATATGAAACCATTTAAATTGTTTTTTAGGGTGATTGTTTTACAACTTATTGATTTCTTCCTTAGTTCAGGAAACTAATCAGTGATTTTTCCATCATCCTGTCGATACTGATCTTCTGTGGAGTTGATATCCTCGTTGGTGTGGATACCCCAAAACTCATTGTGCCAAGTGAGCTCAAGGTTTGTGTCATTGAATATGAACATTGTCTGTTCTGTCTAATTATTGTGTTGATTTTTCTTGGAAGTGAAGGCCATGAACCATTTCCAGGATGTGGAAATATTGTCAGCTGTGAGGAGGATAGTGTGGAATGACAAAACATGGGCAAGTTGATGGAATGAGCAGACAGATGATTTTCAATGCAGAGAAATATGAAGTGATTCATTTTGGAAAGAACATGGGGAGACAACATACAGGGTAAAACTTTTAAAGGGCTTACTGGAGTAGAGTGTATGTGTGTGTATATGTTTATGAAGGTGACATGACAGGGTGAGAGTGATGTTAACAAAGTGAACAGTATCTTGAGCTTTCCTAATACTGACACAAAGTACAAAAGCAAGGAGACTATGTTGAATTTGTATTAGTCATTAGTTCTGTTTCAGCTGAAACATTGCTTCCAGTTCTGGGGGCGGTGCATTTTAGGAAGCTTGGGTAGCCATTAAAGAGGGTGCAGGGAAGATTCACCATAATGCTTCTAGAGATGAAGATAGAGCGAAGAAGTTAGGACTGTTTTGCTTGGAGGAAAGGAAAAAGGCAGAGAGGAGATTTGATAGAGGTATTCAAAATCATGAAGGGCCTGGATTGAGAGGTTAGCAAGAAACTTTTCCCACTTGTAAAAGTGTCGTGAGTGAGAGGGCACAAATTTGAAGTAACAAGTAACATAAATGAAGATAATATTCGCAAAAACCTTCTTTCAGTGAATGGTTAGGATCTGGAATGCACAGCCCTGCAAGTGTGGGGGTGGAAACAGTTTCAATTAAGACTATTAACTAGAGAGGAAAGCTGCACATGTTACAGAGAGAAGGTGAGGGAATTGTGCTTGGCCAGTCGTTTATTCAATTAGGCACTGTGGACATGATAGAATAAATGGCCTCTTTCTGCGTCGTAAAAATTCAGTGGCTGTGATCCTGAGTTACAGATATTATTCACCTATTTCCAAATGTATTTGTCAGACATCATCACACTTAGTCAATAAAGGCAGCTAATGGAACTATATACTGGGTGGCACAATGGCTCAGTGGTTAGCACCGCTGCCTCACAGCACCAGGAGCCCAAGTTCAATTCCACCCTCGGGCAACTGCCTTGTGTAGAGTTTACACATTCCCTTCTGTCTGCGTGGGTTTCCTCCAGGTGTTCCAGTTTCCTCCCACAGTCCAAAGATGTGCAAGTTGGGTGGATTGGCCATGCTAAATTGCCTAGAGTGTCCAGGGATGTGCAAACTAGGTGGGTTAGCCATGGGAAATGCAAGAGTTACAGGGATAGGAAGGGGGTTGGGTACAGGTGGGATACTCTTCAGAGGGTCAGTGTGGACTGAATGGCCTCTTTCAACACTGTAGGGATTCTATTCTATGATTTCTTTTAATATGCACAGATATTTAACAATCAGTAAAACTTTTAGTTCAAGTGAGGGAATTAAAAGCATGAGATTAATAAATGGAGGGGTTGAAGTATGAGGCAGTGGAGAAACAGTTTAATAATATTTGAAATAAAAGAGGAAAAACTATGAACCATTGCACACAGAGCATCTATATTTATATTTAGAAGGTTAGAGAAGAAAAGGAAAATTGAATATGGTGTTAAAATCCTATTAATGAGTGAATGAATGCTAAAGTGCCAAGCTTCTGATGAAAAGATGTGTTGGCAGAGGTCTGTACATGTTTATAGAATCCCTACAGTGTGGAAACAGACCATTCGACCCAACAAGTCCGTACCAACCTTCCAGACCCATTCCCCTACATTTTCCCATGTCTAACCCACCTAACCTAAACATCCCTGGGCACTATGGGCAATTTAGAATGGCCAATCTACCTAACCTGCACATCTTTGGACTGTGGAAGGAAACTGGAGGACCCGAAGGAAACCCACGCAGACACGGGGAGAATGTGCAAACTCCACACAGACAATCGCCCAAGTGTGGAATTAGACCTAGGTCCCTGGCGCTGTGAGGCAGCAGTGCTAACCACTGAGCCACCATGTCCTGAGCGTGCAAGCTATGAACAGGGTTAGGTCATTTGGCCCCTCAAGCCTATTCCACCTTTCGATCATATCCTGTCTGAACTAACTGTGACCTCTACTTCACTTTCCTGCCTAACCCCTATACTCTGATTCCTTTGTTAGCCAAGAATCCATCAACCTTTGCCTTAGAGACATTCAGTGACTACCACTATGCTGTAGGGAAGAGCATTCCACAGAATCAGGATCTTCTGAGGAAAAAAAATTCTTTTAATTTCTGTCTGAAATGGGAGAGCCCTTTACCCTTAAACTCCGCCCCCTAATTCTAGACTCTCCCACATAAATGTCCATTCAGCATTCACCCTGTGAAATCCCCTCAGGATCTTTTACTTCTCGCTAAGATCATCTCACATTCTTCTAAACACACATGGATAGAGACCCACAATCTGTCCAACCTTTCCTTCTAAGATAACTCCCCCACAGTCAAGTGAACCTTCTCCGAATTGCTTCTCATGCAATTATGTCCGTCCTTAAATAAGGAGAAGAAACTGCACACACTACTCTAGATGTAAGAATGCACGACCAGGAGTAGGCCATTGGCCACTCAAGGTAGCCTCATCATTCAACAAGATCATGACCAATCTACCTCAGATCATAACTCCCCTTTTGTACCAACTCCTTACAACCCTGAGCTCCCCGATTTATTTCAGAAAACTATCTCTTTTTTTTCATTACTTTCTGTGATCCAGCCTCCACAACCCACTGAGAATTCCAAACATTCACTTCCTCTGAGAGAGTAAATTCCTTCATATCTATTTTCAGTGAGTGTTCCCTTATTCTGTAACAATGTCCCCTAATTCGAGACTCCCCCACTGGTGGAAAAAGTTTCTCAACATCTACCGTGTCAAGTTCTCTCAGATTCTTAGGTGGACAAAAAGGAGGCTGGAAGAACACAGCAGGCCTGGCAGCATCTGGAGGAATGGAGCAGTCAATGTTTCAGGTATTACCCTTCTTCAGGACTGCAGTAATACCCGAAACATTGACAGCTCCTTTCTTCCCGGTGCTGCCTGGCCTGCTGCGTTCTTCCAGTCTCCTGTTTGCCTACCTTGGATTCTAGCATCTGCAGTTTTTTTTTGTCTCCCTCAGAATCTTGTTTGTTTCTCTTGGATCACCTCTCATTCTTTTAAACACTAATGAATAAAGGCCTCACCTGTTTAGCTGTTCATGATGAGTCAATCCTTTCATCCTAGGAATCAGTCTACTGATAGTTTTGTCAAAGACCTGTACAAATGTCACAAAACATTTATACTGTTATATTTTACTTCCCTTGCAAAAATTGAGAATATTCCATTTGCCTTCCTAATCCCTTGTTGTACCTGCAATGTGACTTTCTATGATTCATGCACTTGGACATCCAGATCCATTTTTGTCTCAGAGTTCTGCAGTCTCTCTTTTACTTAGATAATATGCTGCTCTTCTATTCTTCCTTCCCAGGTGGACAAGTTTTACATGTTCCCACATTATGCCCCATTCACAAACTGTTTCTGTCCTGTCTGAAATTTGCCTTCACAGCTATATTTATATTATCAGTAAATTTAGTTACCATGCATTCTAGCTCTCACTCAAACTGAGATAAATCATTAATAGTGGAAGAGGCCACAGAGTTGATCCCTGTGGTACTCCAGTTGTTACATCTTGTCAACCTAAAAATTATCCACTTTTACCTACCTTCTGTTTCCTGTTAGCTAACTGATCTTGTATCTATGCTAATGTACTACTCTGTACATCATGGGCTCTTATTTTATGGAGTAACCTTTGTGGAATCTTGTAAAATGCCTTTTGGAAATCATGGTACATCACATCAACAAGTTCCCCTTTATCCACCTGGTGGTTAATTACTCAAAGATAGCTAGTAGTCAAATATGATTTTCCCTTTAAACAACATGTTGACTCTGTCACACTGCATTGAGATTTTCTACATACCCTGCCATTGCCACTTTAATAAGTTCTAGTTTTCCCTGTGGCAAATGTTAAACCAATTGGCCTGTTATTTCCTCCTCATGTCTCCGTCCTTTCTTGAATAGAAGAATTGCAATCACAATATTTCAAAGAGACCTTTATATAATCCAGGGAATTTTGAAAATTTAATACCAAATGCATTTACAATCTCAGAAGGCACTTCTTTTCAGAAACTAGCATGAAATCCATCAAGACCCAGGGATATATCAGCTCTTCATATTATTCTGCCGATTTTTTTCTCTGTTTATTGACATTGTTTTAAGTTTCTCCTGTCCTTCCACTTCTTGATTTATAATTATTTCTGGGATATTATTTGTATCCTCTACTGTGAAGACAGAAGCAAAATATATATTCAATGTAACTGTTTTGTTTGAGAGAAACAATATCCCAATTTCTCCTTTGCATTTATATAGTGCTTTTTTATTATTACTGAACATTTTAAAGGTTTTACAGCCGATGAATTTTTTTCAACGTGTAGTTGCTATTGTAATGTAGAAAATCTGTTTATGACATTCATTGAGGGATAAACATTGACTGGACTCCTGGGACAACTTTTTGGCTCTTATTTTAAATGATGCCATGCGTCCCTTTATATCCCTCTGATCAGAGATGAACCCTTGGTTTAATGGCTTCTCTGAAAGATGGTGCTTCAGACAGTACAGTTGTTCCTCAGTAGTGCATTGGAGTATCAGCCTTGATTTATGTGCTAAAGCCCTTGAGTAAGGCTTGAATCTGGAACCTGGTGACCCAGATGTAACAGTGCTACCTACTGAGCTATGGAAAAATTGAAAATAGGTGTAGGTCATTCAGCCCATTGAGCCTGTTCTGCCATTCAACTCAGTCCCCGTTCCCATTTTCTCGCCATACCCTTTAATCCCTTTAGACATGAGAACTTTATCCAAAACCTTCTTGAAAGTAAATGGTCGACATGTAAATACAGATAACTGAAAAATGTAAGAAAGCGCAGTAGAGAAAAATGACATTTTGAGAAAACAAAAGCAATGACAGAAATCAATTATAGGTTTGCAGGTCACAATATTTTCCAATGAAAAGTTCCAATGGGCTGAAGGTCATCCATCTTAGATCTCTGTCTAAAGGAGAGCAACTCATCACCCAATCCCAGTGTAGAAAAGCTTAGTCAACGCATATAACTTACAATACTGTGCCCCTACTTTTCGAAGCCAGTGTAGTGGTTACCATTGTTGAGCCTTTGATGTAGCTCCTGTGTTCCAATGCAGTATCCTCTCATCCCCTGTATGTTGAGTTGCCCTCTTTATAATTAGTATCCCCTCTGCATTCCAGCATGCTGCCTCCAACCTCCAGAATTGGCTTACCTTCACTACCACAGCAGTGGCCCCTGATTGCCCCCTTCACTTACAGTGAGCTGACTCCTAAGACTGACCATGGCCCACCACCCTCTGACAACTGGGATGGACAACCCTGACTGATCTCTGCACAGTTCCCCTGCCTGACTTCCCACAACTCCCTGAACTGATTGCACTGGACATGCAGGACTGATCATAGCACACTCCCTGAACTGTGGTGATATGGACCCTCTGACCCTGACTGTCCCAAGCAGTTGGACTGCGTCCAAGGCTCTGATCTAATAACCAATGATGCCCTTAACCTAACTGTGTTGTGACACCTGGCTGAAGACAGTTTCCCTTGATCTGACTGAGGGCTTTTCCCCTTAGATTTTGAGACCTGGCCATTTGGTTGATGCCAATGCAGTGTGTGTGCTGTGTCAGCTGCAGGTGTAATGCTGAAGTAGCAGAGTGCTGTACAGCAACATGTCCACCCACTTCTCTGACTGCTGACAGCCACGACAAGCTACATAGCTTTGTGTCTGTACTAACAGCAAGGCCAGACAGAAGGCTGAAGGCTTTAGGCTATGAGGGAGCAAAGCACAAAAAGGCAAGGCAAGGCAGTGATGTTGGGAGCATTGAAGAAAGCTCAAAGTGAGTGATGTTTTAGAGAGTAAGTGAGGAACACCAAGATACATCCTGATCGAATTCATGAGCCTGTCCTAGCAGCACATTCAAATGAACAGTGCCTCTGCTCTCCATTCAGCAGAATTGTATCATAAGAGGTTTAGAAATATGCCACAAGAATGTAGAGAGATTGGTATGTATTCGATGCCAATGGTCATGTACAGGATGTGTTGGCTGTCGCTGCTTATTGACCATGCCCTGCAAAGTTGGTGACTGTTGCCCTAGACGGAGGCCTGGATGAGCAAGTGGTGAACTGAAGTCTCCAGCCTACCCACTCTGACTTTTATGTTGGGAATTAACACCTCTAGACTCTATACAGTGGCTGGGAGAATGGGAAATTGCATACAGCTGAGGCAAGATTAGGTAAGAATAACATTCAAATGTTTGCATTTAGACGGCTCGCCACCCACTAATGAGATTCTCACCTCGTTGCCCACACTTGGCCAGGGAATTTTGCTCTCAACATTGAGAAACTCATTACAGTCCAACTCACCTGAATTCCCTAAATTTCTGGCCAAATACCATGTTATTCAGAAGCTAGGAAAATTTTGCACAATATCTCCCAGCTAAGGATGGTTTGTACCAGCCCATCTTGTAGGAGAAATGGCTATGTTTGCTTTAGTGGGTTGTTCAAATAGGACAAAGATTGGACCTTTCTCTTTTCACACTCATTTCCCCATCTAGAAAGTTTTGAAGTCTAGTCTTGATATAATTAACAACCCTGAACAAGGACCAGACTTTATTTTAAACACACAACTGCCACATTCTGCAGCAAAGTGCACCAAATGAATGGAAATCGAGTCAGTGGGATTCGTTTCTAGTGCACTCCCTCCAGACAATTCGGTGCTGAATGTGAATTCAACATGTCCAATTATGAAACAAACAATTTGTGTCATTGCTTATTATCTACTTCTGACAATACATTTGTTATTATTTGTCACTGGATTGTATTAGTAAAACTGTAATGAGGTAAAGCTTGATGCTTTGCGAGATCTAACATTAATGTTCATTGGATTTACTTGTTACTGTCTTAAAATGGCATGACATCATTACATTGCCATATTTGCAGTTAGGATTATTACTGAAAATATAAATTTTACAATAATAGCTGGGCAAATTTACTTTGTAAAAGGTCTTGATAAAAACAAGAAAGCAGTTTAAAGGCTATTCCAGTCAGAACTGTGAAGTAAGTTACAGTTGCCTGTTCTGGAAACTTACTCTGTTACAGAAAGCTAAGTCAAACAATTTGGTATAATCCCATTTTCGCATTACAGTCACAAATCAAGACATTTTATTTTTGTCACATGGGATTGCAAAATATTTGAGCTGCTTTTCTGGCCTTTAAGAAGTCTTAAAAGCCTATTTTTAATGATTGTATAGACAGCGCTTTTTGGATTGACGTGCAAATGTTGAACTGATTATGGTTTAGCGTTAAACAAAGCAACAGCATTAAGTTTTTATTTGTGGGAAGAACATACAGGAATATTTGAACATAATACCTCTGTATGATTAGTGTTTTAGTAAATTTTGGTTTGTTTATTACCAGAACATGCAACCATATGGGTTTAAACAGGACATTGTTTTCACGATAATTTTTGCATTTGTTTATAAACCCAAATTTTCTTGAATTATATGAACTCATGGGTTTTAAGCCAAATTATCTGAATGACACCGAGACAGCTCTTCAGAGTCTTTAGTTTTCTAAAGTTCTTTGAACACTTTTTAATGTAGCCAATTTTTGTTTAAGCTGCTGATTATAAACTACTCTACACCATGATTAAATTCTTCCAACACATAAACCCTCATTTAAATGCATTTATTTTTGATGTTTAAACTTACATTTACCAGCTTATGACCTGTCAGAGTTACAGAAAATGCCCAGTTTTCTCTGCAATAGAGTAAGCCAATAAGTCTAATGGGAAATTTACAAGAGACTTTCTCACTTGTAAGTGTTGAGAGAGCTCACTACCATAGGTATTTGTGGAAATGAATTCTGTTTATACTTTTAAGTAGAAACTAAATAGGCATACGAGGGAGACAGGAATAAAGGGTTACGTAGATAGTTAGATGAGGATGGATGGGTGGCTTTTAACCTCATAATGTTTTGAGGAAATGCAATATAATCAATATAATTCTTTTTATTAAAGCCAACGAACCCACACAGAGGGTGGTTTGTGTATCCATTTGGTGGGAATGAATGGTGGATGTGCCTCATTGCAATGGTACCAGCTTTACTGGTCACTATACTTATCTTTATGGACCAGCAGATTACTGCTCTCATCCTGAACCGCAAGGAACATAAACTCAAGGTTTGTTGTTGATTTCTCCTTTTTGAATAAAAATGTTTCACCACACTCTCAGTCGATAAAGATTTACATGATGATTCATTACAAGTGGTTTAAATATTTGCAAAAGCACGCAACAGTTCTAATTTTGTTTCAAAATTATTTTTTAATTTAGGTACTATTATCAATCTATATATTTGCTGCAAATATGCTGTCTATTAATGCTAGCATTACAAACACATAGGTTTATGACAAAGAAAGTCAGTCAGCCTAACCTATTTATTCTGATTCTTCAGCAGAGCAATCCAAACCTAATCTCATAGTGCCATGCTCTCTTCTACAACTTTGTATCTTTTGCTGCTTCAAATTCTGTAAAGAGATTGTGGTATTTATGCTAACCATTCTCAGTGGCAAAGCATTCTATATGCTAAAACCTCTTGTGTAAAGAGACATCTCTGAACACTTCTCCTCACTCTCCAGTAGTCTTACACTGATTATTCTTTCAAATCAATATAGATAATCTTTCACTTTTAAATCTCTCATAATTTAAAAAAATCTCAATTTCATCTCCTTAGTTTCCTCTGCTTTGATGGAAAGAATTGCAAGATTTTATTTCCCCTTTTGCAACTGTATCATTTAGTGCTCTCAGTTCATGCCCTCTATGGCTTTAATGTCATTTGAGTTGCATGAGATGAGATTCTGTGCAACTATACCTGAGCCTATGTTTTATATAAATTCTTAATTAACTCTTCGTTAACATTCAAATCTACATTCACAAAATGCAAAATTCTATTGACCTTTTTATTTGGCTTTATCTAACTGCAGTTGCATTTATATAAAATCATGGAATTGAATTTCCTAAGTCACTCTCACACACTCCCTTCAGTGCCTTTCTATAAGTGAATGATCCTTCTTTTTACCTTTACACTCAAAATGCTTATTTACTTATTTATATTAAATTTCACCTGTCACATTTCATTAGCCTACCTTTGTTGTCTTCATGTCTTTAAATGACTCATTCTACTTTAAAATTGCCAATATTCATCCCAATCTGTTATATGCAGATGGGACATTTTATCTTTGTCTTGTCCATTAACCAGTGTTCTGTCTGTACACTACTCGTATTCAATGCAACTGAAATTTCTAACAAACCTCTTGTGTGGTAGCTTTTTGAGTATCTTCTGAAAATCTATTTAACGCACAATGTTTATCTAGTTCATCACTTCTTCAAAAAGCTATTACGTTTGTAAAACACAATGTGTCTTTCATCAAAATAGACAACATGGATTAAAACATTTTCTGAAGAAGGGTCTAGGCTCGAAACGTCAGCTTTCCTGCTCCTCTGATGCTGCTTGGCCTGCTGTGTTCATCCAGCTCTACACCTTGTTAACATGGATTAAAAATCCATTTTTAAAATACTTAGCAGATGTGACTAATTTCTTCAGTTAGGTATTCTAAGAGACAAACAAATCAATAGTTATGTGCTTAACCATTTACTCTTTTCTAAACAATAATGTTATACCTGCTAGTCTCCAGTTCCAGGCACAACTTTAATGCTTAATCAGAAATCACAAATTGTGGTCAGAGCATCTGTTATCCAACTTTTGATTCCTTTCCGTAGCCTGGGTGCGTGCATTACAGTTATCTAAACTATCAACGCTGAACAACATGTCATGAAATTGATAAAGAAAATACAGAGCAGATCAGGTAGCTTTTTGGAGAAAAAAACAAAGTCAAACTTTTCAGGTCAATTACCTTACATAGATGTTGAATGACCTACTGAATACCTTTGAGTATTTTCTGAATCATCAGTTGTCCAATATCAAATGAAAGCAAAAGCAGAGTGTTCTGAAGAAAAATCATTTTGGACTTGAAATGTTAACTGTTTCTCTTTCCACAGATGCTGCCAGACCTGCTGAGTTTTGCTAATATTTTCTGTTTCTGAGTTGTTCTATATCAGTTGTTTTATTGATTGATTGATTGTTCTGCTGTTCTACAAAAGCTCTCACTCCCACCATCATTTTGTTAAAGTAATATTGACTGATAATTTCTTCAGAGCTGCTTCCACTTTTTCTGGCATAACTTCACTGGATGTTATAGTGGTGCAGCATGGACAACTCCAAGGAAATTCCAGTTAATAAATATTTAATATATCTGCTATTTAAGACTCCTTCCTACATTCTGGAGTTGCTTGACCCTTTTTTTTTACTTTTTGATATATTGGTGAAAATTCTTTATTCATTCATGGGCTGAGGACGTCACTGGCTAGGCAGCATTTGTTGCCAATCCCTAATTGCCCAGAGGGCAGCTAAGAGTCAACCACATTACTGTGGGTCTGGAGTCACATGTAGGCCAGACCAGGTAAGGATGGCAGTTTCCTTCCCTAAAGGACATTAATGAACCAGATTGGTCTTTCTGACAAATGACAATGCTTTCATGTTGATCATTAGACTGTCAATTCCAGATTTTGTCTTTATTAAATTCAAATTCCACCATCTGCCATGGCAGGATTTAAACGTCTCCCCACAAAATGCATTGTATTTCCTCTTTTATGTTATTTCTTGGTCTTCCTTTTTATATTCTGTTTAGCTATTCAAAGCCTCCTTTTCATCTTCCCTCCCACACTTCCAGCATTCCTCAAGACCAACTTTAGCTCTGTTTAGTTCTTAATTGTTATAAGATTGTTTCAAGTTTCAGTTTTGTTTTTGTACTCTGGTTCTGACATTTCCCCTCCCTCCCCACCCTGACCCTGCACCCCCAGCCGCCAACCCTTCAAATTATCAGCTCCCTCTCCACATTTAAGATTCTCTTTAAATCCCCATTGGCTATTGCTCCTATTATCTCATTAGCTGTCTCAGCATCTATTTTTGTCTGATTATACATCTGTGTCATGGAGCATTTTCAACTTCAAGGTGCTATATAAATGCATCATTTTACTGTTACAGCCTTCTGCAGTTCTAGAATTTACTCTAATGCTGTGGCAACGGAAGCTCTACCCATCTGCAATAGCCGCATACTGTCCTTTCTCGGCCCTCCTCCATTAACCTGCTCAGTGTTTGACAAGGAAACAATTTGACAATGATCTCTTGAAGTCTTTATATTCACACCTGGGACAAGGCAGACTCAGGTCGAATTTAACAGTCCACATTATTAAATAACTTCCTAATACCAATTCTCTAGATACAAACATTACGATTCATTACTTGGAGTTATTGGAAAACTGAAGCCTTGTCTTAGCAAATGACAATGACTTTCAAGAGAGAACAAGGGGAAAAATAACAGGGCAAAATGAGGGCAGAAAAATCTAAACATAAGTTGCCACATCACTCTCATCCATAAACAGAAGGGATATTAATTGTGCAAATTTTAAAATAAATACATTTAAATAAATAAATAAACTCATTTAATTTCACATAACTATGGACCATTTTATTAATTAATTTTCACTATAATATATTTATTGGTTAAACCCTACATAGTCAAATAATTGCTGCAGTACAAAGAGATCACCTACTAGCTACAATATAGTATATTGACAAATAAGTCCATTTAAAATGAATCATTTGGCTTCAACCCCTTGCTCAACAAGCCAAGTGGGAGACTCATATAAATAATTGTACATAAACTTCATTTAATATATGAAAGTGGAATAAGAATACTTTACATGGAATAGTGGCTGAAACCTGAAAGCTGAGAAGATCTGTATTGAAGTTTTAGAGAAATGGCAATCAGGGTAAGTAATATTTTGGACTGATGCAATTTCTATTTAGCATGTGTTTTCTTTTCCCAATTCAAACTATGACAATTACCCCACAGAAAGGTGCTGGCTTTCACCTAGACCTGTTCTGGATAGCTATCCTTATGATCCTTACTTCATTCATGGGTCTGCCCTGGTACGTGTCCGCAACTGTAATATCCCTTGCACACATAGACAGCTTGAAAATGGAGACTGCAAAATCTGCCCCAGGTGTAGAGCCCACATTTATGGGAGTGAGGTATGTTGAGCAATATTCTGAGGATTTTTAATAGATTGATGTTGGAAATAGTGTGTATGTAATTAGAATTCTCTTTAAATTGGGTGCATTTACTTTGAGCGTAATTGTGTTCTTCATGTAATCGACTGATCTGTATTCATATCCAGTGTATCCATGGACAAGTAACAGTTATTATCTCAAATTCACAGTCTCAGTATAATCATTGCACCTAATATTTCTCTTTTCAGCACATGCTGTTGTTTCATGGCTACCCAGTAGTTTCTGTAAGCAGACCGAGATTGTTATAAATTCAATCTCACATTCAGCACAATGTATGGATTAACGCAAGCAGTTTTAACAATTAGCCCGTGATTATAATCTGCTTATTAGAGAACATGTGAAACATAATTCCCAATCATCCTTGAAAGCAAAAAACTGATGATGGACCAATGCCATATAGATTAAGACTTACTTGGTAAATTGATTGTCTATCACAAATTAAGATGATTACTGATATGCACACGCTAATAAACTTTGGATAAAGTGTTGAGTTTTTTGAAGAGATGGCAAAAGATTGATGAAAGCAGCGTGGTCTATATGGACTTCAGCAAGGTGTTTGACAAGGTTCCGCATGGTAGACTGGTTAGCAAGGTTAAATCACATGGAATCAAGGGGAAGTTAGCCACTTGGATACAAAATTGGTTCGAAAGTAGGAGACAGAGCGTGATGGTGGAGGGTTGTTTTCCGGACTGGAGTCATGTGACCAGCTGTATATTGCAAGGCTCGGTGCTGGGTCCACTGCTTTTCATCATTTATATGCAGGATTTGTATGTGAGTACAGGAAACATGGTTAGGTTTGCACATGACACCAAAATAGATGGTGTAGTGGACAATGAAGAAGGTTCAAGTTGAAAAAGAGTACAACAGGTCCTTAAACAGATGGACCAATTTGCTAAGGAGTGGCAGATGGAGTTTAATTTAGAAAAATGTGAGGTGCTGCATTTTGCAAAGGCAAATCAGGATAGGACTTATACAGCCAATGGTAGGTCCCTGGGGAGTGTTGCCAAACAAAGACACCTTGGGCTGCAGGTGTATAGTCCCTTGAAAGTGACGTCTTTGATAGACAGGGTAGTGAAGAAGGTGTTTGACAGGCTTGCCTTCACCGTTCAGTGCATCGAGAAGAGGAGTTGAGTTGTCATGTTGCGGCTGTAATGACATTAGTGAGGCCAGTTTTAGAATATTGCATTGAGTTCTGGTCTCCCTGCTATAGGAATCAAGTTATTAAACTTGAAAGCGTTCAAAAAAGATTTACAGGGATGTTGCCGAGTTTTGAGGGTTTGAGCTATAGGAAGAGGCTGAATAGGCTGGGGCCTTTTTCCTTGGAGCGTCAGAGGCTGAAGGTTGACCTTATAGAAGTTTATAAAATCATGAGCAGCATGGGTAGGGCGAATAGCCAACGTCTTTTTGTCAGGGTGAGGGAGTCCAAAACTAGAGAGCATAAGTTTAAGGTGAGAGGAGAAAGATTTAAAACAAATCTGTGGGGCAACTTTTTCTTGCAGAGGGTGATGCGTGTATGGAATGAGCTGCCAGAGGAAGTGATGGAGGCTGGTACAATTACAACATTTTAAAGGCATAGGCATGGATATATGAATAGGAAGGGTTTAGAGGGATATGGGCCAAATGCTAGCAAATGAGACTAGATCAGTTTAGGATACCTGGTCGGCATGGACAAGTTGGACTTAAGGGTCTGTTTCCTTGCTGTATAATTTATGACTGTATAAGCAAAAAGACACAGAATGTTAGTAAATAGTACAGCACAGCACAGCATTTTTTAAAAAAGATATGATCGGTTCACATGGCCTTAATATAGCCTTTTCAGAAAAATGTTTTCTGCATTAGTTGACAAGTAAGAGATTCTTTAGCTGCCTGTCTGGTTTATCTCTTTTTCTTGTAGACCTTCAAGTGAACTCACGATTGGTCTTAGAGGTGAAGCTCTCTGTGATGAAATGTCTCAAACGTTCACTGTATTGATCCATCTGAAAAATGGGCATTCAGGCCATGCTATGGAAATGTATCCAGATATCCCTTCAAGAGATGAGAGAGATAGAATAGTAGAAACAAAGGCTTCTAGAGGAGTTACATAGTAATGGTGGTCTAGGTGAATAATACAACATACAGGACTTCTTTGTGTTAGATGACTCATCTATACAGTTGTAGATAGTTTGCTACAAGCAAGTATTGCATGGCAAATTTAGTTGTTTTTTTGAGGAGATCGTTAACAAGGCTGATAAGGGAGAATTATGGATGTTACCCTGCATTTATAACGGCTTCCAAAAGACATTTGGTAACATTCCATATACAAGATTATGAGCAAAAATAAGTGTGCTTGAAATTGGCAGTAGCCTATTGACTTGAGTTGGAAACCAATTGGGAGACAGTAAGTAAGAAGAAGGGACTGTCTAAAAGGAGGGATCTGTACTGGGGCTTCAATTTTTCACTATATATTTATTATGTGGATAAAAGATACTTTTATCTTGTTTGCAGATGACAATAAATTAGGATTAAAAGTAGAGAATGAAAACAGGAAATTGCAAATGAATGGAGACAGATTAAGCAATTGTGTAAAACAGTGGCATGTGAATTTGAATGTGAATAGGTGTGAGACCATCCACACTGGCCTCAAGAAAGATAAATCAGATTGCTCCCTATGTGTGAAAAACTAGAGATTGTAGATGAGCAGAGATTTGTGAATATCAAAGTGGTTAAAATGTAAAACGAATCAGAGAAGCCATTTTCTTTTGTAGAACAAAGTTGAAATTACAACAAGATCATACAAGAGTGAAATCAGAAACGAAGGGATGAATCAAATGAATGTCTGGTTAAATGTGAGTTGAATTGAGCTTTTTTGGAGGAATTCTCACTGCAAGTCCCAGTGAGGTTTCTTGCTGTGCCTTACCAAACTCACCTCACTAATCACCTGCCCCTCAGTATGGTATCCCTCGCACCCAACTCTCTCCCCATCTTACTACATGCCATTCCTAGAACAATTTGCCACTCACCAGTCATCTGCCAAAAGACAAGCATTTTTGGCAGCTGTACGATTATTTGAAAGGCTTGTATGGACCTGGATGAGTATTCGGAGCTGCCCTGCTTGTTGCTGGACAGAATCTGAACATGTCAGAGAAGGAGAAGATGGCACTGCAGTTCTTTGAGATGGACCTGGAGATCCTTGTGGAGGAGCTGGTGTAAAGGAGGAGTATTCTCTCCTCTGAGACCGGTAGAAGAGGTCACATCACCAGATCCTGGCAACCTTGTATGAGATTGCCACCCAGTCAGTACCATTTCAATGATGCAGAGGAACAGGCAGCAATGGAGGTCAAAGACTATCTCTGCCTATCAGGGTGAGTGCCACAATCTTCTTTCTGCTATCTCATACTCTAACTCTGCTAATGCATCAGCTCCCACCAAGGCTCATTCTCTGCTATGCTCATTATTGCTTGCAATATCTTCCCTCACTCACTGTTAAGCCCCTAACCTCCCACTCCCTGACTGTGCATTGTCTCCTCACTCCCTCGGAACACCATACCACCTTTCTCCACCAGTGCCAACGGCTATGCTGCCTACTTGCCACTCACTCAGTTTCTCTTTTTCTGTCATTCCAGGAGAATTTAGCTTACAAAGGAGCAGGAAGGACCCAGGGCAGGGGGAGGGATGCCCTGTATTAGACTCCCAGGCCCCTAATAAAAGAGAATCCTGCTCTTACAGGAGAAGTAGGCACATCCAGTCTTCATTCCACTACAACTCTCCCAGTAACCCTGTTGTTGGTCTTGTTCCTTATGCACCACTTTTAACTGCTCACTGCAACATCTCTCTTTTGTTTGTTTCGCAGGTGCCACCAGAATAATCACCACCTCCGCGGAAGAAGAGCTGGCTCCACCAGAATCCATCTCCTTGGTCTCTGAGGGTGTGAGTACTGGGGCCTCTGAGGAAGCTTCGGCAAGGCTGTGTCCTGCACTTCCCTCAGCAAGAATGTTAGCCTTCAGGTGTTTGGGAGCACACTCTGGTGGGTACCTCAAATCGAAAGCCCCACAGCTATCCAAGGAGAAAAGGACCCCAGGTGCTGGCACTTGGTGGCACTGACATGAGCAAGCAACTGCTGAGAACTAGGCATGAGAGGAGCCTGTGGTATCACCAGTTAGGGACTTTGTCCACATACACAGAGAGGAACAGGGGCAGCAGCCAGCTACGTGAGAGGCATTGGCCCTCATTGCCCAGAGGCTGCAGCAGTGCAACCAGTGACCATCTGACCTCCCCCATGGACAGGTTGGCACCTGTCATGAGGAGCCAGGCCTAGCATTGTCTGATTCTGCTAGATAGGCACACAAACCTGCACTGCATCGTCCTCAGGACCAAAAGCATGGTGACAGAGATGGGGAACCTGTCACGCCCTCCAGGTGTCCTTTCCTCGTGAGGAGATAAGGCACCCAGCCAGAGCAGGAATCACACACAGGGGCCTCTGATGTCTCTTCTCCTGAGAGGACACACCACAGGTCACTGTGGTCTCCAACCCCAGCCTGCCTCTCCCTCTCTGACCCTGGGAATTTCAAGATGAAGAAGCTTCTCTTGCCTCTGCATGTCTGGGTCATCCAGATGCAAACACCACAGGGTCACCTGATCAAACCTCCAGGCCTAATGGGTCCTACAGTCAGCCTACTCCGGTAACAGTGGATCCCAGGACTACACAGAAAACCAGCAGGAAGGAAAAAGAAAGAAAATAAGGGAATAATCTCATGTTTACTACTTGAGCAAATTGGCTTAGGGTAAATAAAATTCAAAAGGCAAATGCAGGGATCAAAAATGTGGGAGAAATGGATTCTGATTCCTGGGCCACTGGCACCAGTAATAGGGAAAGAGATAGCAGTTCCAATGGGACAAGTTTAATTTGAACCTTGCTGGGACCTGTGTGCTGGTAATCATAAAGCTAGGATTGTAGAAAGTGCTTTCAGTTAATTGAGGGGAGG